CTTATGCCTGCGTCACCCAAAATGCTCAACTGCTTCTCTGGGCATGAAAATTTGGAGCAGGAACAAGTGGAGGAAGGCTCGGTCAAGGGATATAATGCAACATCGTAAAAAAGATTTGCAACTGAGTACGAATCTTCGTACGAGACCTTGACGCGATTGGCATCAAAACATAGACCGAGAATAGCATAGATGCGGTCTCGCTGATCGGTTGCATCCATACAGCGTGATATATGTAGCAGCTCTTTCAACCCAGGTAAACTCATGGGATGCTCGGAAACCATCTGTGGAGCCCGTCGGGAAAGAAATATGGCATAGAGAGCGAGAAATCCTACATGTCTGTATTGCCAATTCTCAACAGAGGGCTCCAGATATGTCAAGAAATGGGTGAGGGCATTCATGCGTGCCAAACCAGCTATTTGCTCGCAGAAATCATTCCAGCGAACTCGGGTTGAGCCACAATGAACTACCGCGTTACCGGACAGAGTAGCTTCTTGCAATACCCATACTCTGGAGAACCAGGGATGTCGGAGAATTCCCCCAAGAGTGGCTTCTACTTGAGGTATACCAAACGACTGTTGTGCTGTCAAATCTGTGGCTAAGTGTTGAAGGATGTTCCTATGCCCAATGGGGCTGAAACGAAAGTGTATGTGTCGGAGGAGGACACATGCATCATTGACGAGCTGTGGGCTGCCAGGCGCATCTCCAAGCCAGATAATCGTTTCAGAAGCGTTTTTGAAAATGTCCTGCATGAGTCGAATTTTGCGTCGCCTTCTCTACCGGATTGTCTTGTTTAATGCACAGCTGGTCGATCCAAATGTAGACCGGATCATGTCCAAAGATAATGCGACATAATATGTCCAGCAGGCCTCTGGGTACTTGTAGGTGCCGTCCATTACAACAGACTTGTCCGGCCTGCTCAGACCAACCAGCGATTTTTGATGTATATGATAACGCAGTATACTGGGGATGATCCTTGAGTCGAAAATGATGCACTTCGCATTCCAAGGTACCCCACAATCTCTGCACGGGCGGAAATTTGACCAGACGAAACTCTTCTTGTGCAGTAAGGGCTTTGTGCTGAAACGAATGCCAACCAAGCGGCCGAGGAGCATACATTTTGATCAAAAGGTACAGCAATGCCACTTGACAAAGTGAAGTTTGTACCATTGCGGTCGCTTAACGTGGATACTTTATTTTGTTTAATTACAGACCAGGGCCATGGCCTCTAGCTGGTTGTAAATGCTTTTGGTGGCATGATTAAATTGCATGCGTCATTGCAATTGGGTCAAAGTGAGAGGCAGAATGTAAACGTCATAGCAAGATCGCAGGGTTTGGACGGATTCTTCCCCAGCGCTTGGCGTTAATGTGATTAAAATAACTCGTAATACTAGACGCAGACGATTCACAGGAATCTCTGAGGTGGTTATAGTGAGGGGGAGGGGGGTCCTTGTACAAAAGCAATGGAGTGAAGTTTTAATCCAGAGTTAACATTTTAGTTGATGTAAGGCGCTCATGAATGTCTATAGATGCTCAGAACCTATAATTCCCAGTTGATCCGCCCACCCTTACACCTGGAGAATCGCGTATCTTACAATCAGTACTCCCTAGGTGGTGGTGTCTGTGAACCGATCATATCAGTTTATTTTATGCTTCCCGATGAGGTGTGTCCCAGCTGTCCCTTACCTTCACTGTTGTCCGTTCTATTGACTGCTGTCTATTTCCATGGTCTTTAAATTCCCATTCATCTTACTGACGTCAATAATCTACGATTTGATTTTCGTCAATACAGAAAAGTGGGTTGTTAAATAGGCGTCTAGGTACCTACATAATGATCCATATTACAACTCAATGGACCCCCACCTTGAAAATGTTGTGGACATGTTAATGAGCCATGGGAGCTTGTCAGCAAAGATCTACTGTCGAAAATCATTGATATGGCTGAGGAGGTTGCATTGCAATATCAGATTTCATTATAGATAGCGGCCCCCAACGTCAGTATGCCTGTATCGCAACTCCATAAGCGGGTGTTGGTCGTGACTAGACCTTGAAATTCAGTCCCAGTGAGACTAGAGTTCAGTCCCGAGTCCCATGCCAAGACTCCCATGGGAATCAGTCCGAAGTCCCTTCCATGGGAGTCCCATGGAAGTTAGTCCGAGGTCCCTTCCATGGAAGTCCCATGGAAGTTAGTCCGAGGTTCCTTCTATGGGAGTCCCATGGGAGTTAGTCCGAAGTCCCTTCCATGGGAGTGGACAAGGTCTAGTTGTGACAGTATATATTGACTTGGAAGCGTTGTTTGGCCTTCAGAATTAAACGATCATCGAAATTAGCTAGCAACTGAAGAACAGAGATTTTGTCGGGAAATCAAGATCACCATGAGTAGGCAACTGACCATGCGTGACGCACAGACACCAATCCCGGGCCCTGTTCAAGAACACCATCTCGAGGATCAGTCAGACTTTTGTTACAGCCAACAATCAACCCCTTGTCGCTTTCGCTTCATCGACTGTAAAGCATTTTGTGAAAGTGATTTACTCAAACTTGTCACATTCAACAATCTTGACCACAGTTACTCTTGCATATCATACATTTGGAATGGTCTCAATCAATATGGTGTGAGTCCGAGCTTTAATGTACAAGGCGTTAGAGACTCACATCCTCTGAACATTGGATTATTGAGATCGGCGTGTCAGCTTTCTTTACTGAAAAACGCGCCATATATGTGGTTGGATCTGATCTGCATTTTACAGACAGACCATACGGACAAGAACTGGCAAATAAAACACATGGCAGAGATCTATAAAAAGTGCGTCTTCTGCTTGGTGATACCGGGCGGCCTACAGAGATTAGCAGACCTCCACACTTGTGAGCAAACTGAATGGGCGGAACGGCATTGGACTTTACAAGAATCGGTGTTACCAACAAAAGTCTATTGCATGTATCAATGGAGGCTGGGTTCTGGAAAAATTAGTGATCAAGTAAAACTTGAAAAATTGAATAGTGAGTGAGCTCCAATCAGTGTTATCTGTTGACTAACAATCGGATCAAAGAAACCACCGCGTATCTCTCTTTCAGAGAATTGTTGGCAATGCAGCCTCCTGGAAAATCCAGCGTTGCCAGCAACCAAAGCCGAAGCCCTTCATCAACCTCCTCCAGGCCTACCGATTACTTCATAAATGATAACGGTCAACGCGCAAAGTGGAGTCCTGGAGGATGGTCCATATCCGGTATGATCTTCGGCTGTATTGGACACGGCAACAGCCATAATGGTGTTTTCTTACGAGAGATTTTACGTGATGTTTGTGGAGACAACGCTGATAAACGAGAAATTGCACTATGGAGATCATTCTTTCTGAGAACGTCCGCAATACCCTTAGATGCAGTGCTCAGCATCATGAGTTTGTTTGAAGTTAAATTGGAGCCATCAGACTTCGAAGAAACTGCTCAGCCTCGCCTCTCTGCTACCATCCGATTGATGCAATTGTATCTCGAAAAAGGGGACAGGGCGCAGTGGCTGGCTTTCATATTCGGTACGATAGCAGCTCGCGTGTTTCCGACGTTGGAGTATTGGTCCGATGGACCTCGCGACTTTCCGCTAGCTGATCCAAGAATGTGCACTATTCCATATATGCCAGAGACAAACGACAGGTTTAACGGTCGCCGTTGGTTGTCTGGGATTGAAACCTGGACCTGTCGGCTGAAGAGCGCTCCAGGTGGGGTCATGGATAATCAGGGTTATTTAACGGTGGATGTCCCAGTTTTGGAACTGCCTCTGAATGAATGCCTTGCTTCTGACGCCATCAGCCATGCGAGACAAAAATCATCGCTATGCGACAATACTCAAGTATGCCTGGTCATAGACTTAGGCATAATAATATATGACATACCCGCAACGAATATAACAAGTCCTGTTCATTCCGAACGTCGTGCAACACTGCTCCTCTGCACCCATGCGCCGGGGAGGTATCATGTGATAGGCGCAGTGAACAAGTCAATATGGGATTGGACAAAGGCAATCAGGAAATCTGTGAAAATTGGAGGACCAGAGCCAATTGTGACGGACTGATATCACTTGCTTTGACCAGTACGTCACAGCCTTGAAAATTTACTAATGGAAGACGAACTGGTATTCAGCGAGTGAACTATATCGAGAGATATCGTCCCTGACACCAGTAGAAAATCTCTCTTAAGGACTTTTTTGAATATGTGTTGAATAGAAGTGGTGGAACCTCAGCCACCTCCCATTAAGTCTCGTCGGATCTAAAGCGCTATTGTTTGTGGTGGAAGCGTAACTCGAAACTTAACCATCGACAGGCAGAATACATAGTCGGTACTCTGTTCCTTCTTTGAGGGCTAGCTGGGCTCAGAATATCCTGGCACATAGTTCCAACTACAAGACCTCTGTCATCTGCTAACGTCATATGGCTTGTTCGTCTAACAGCTTCTAAACCCTTTATTACTAACTTTGGTTCCAGCATGACATAATTGCGGTATTCAAAGCTATGGTATACCTAGGTGATCTACTTTATTTCTCAGGTAGCTAGCTATGTTGACTTGGACTCAAGAGAAGCAGGCCATGGACGGGCTTGGGCTTATTGAAATTCAAGGCTTGATAGGTAATGTGACACTTTTCTAATCGCAATATGTTATGTTACCGATCGTTACTGGTGGTAGATATGTATGGAGCGTCTTGGTCAGCGTTCAAGCTAGTAATCAATTATTGGAATTAACAGATGATGGAGGTCTGCCTTTCTGTAAATAATGACAATGGGAGTTAAATTTGAATACATAGAAAACAATACGCAATCTGACTAGATAAACAAGTGGAAGAGATGTGACTTTGGACAGGGGAATTGCTGGAACCTTTGCTTAAAAATGTGACCAGAGGTAGTGGCTCCGATTTTTTCAAATAAGAACACATCACGTATAACTAGCTGTCACATATGATTGACAAAGTGGGCTAGGTGGTCTCACGTCCAACAAGCAGTCCGCTAGTTGTCAACTCACTGTTCCTCCTTTGAGGACTGGTAGGCGTAAGGGGATCGGGCCCTTGGGCTTCCAATGCAGTGTCTCTATCAACTGGAACTACAGGCCTCATATGATGTCTTCCGGTGACAGCTTGAAGTGCTCCTCTCTTAATAGTCTCAATATGAGGCCTGTATTGGTCTCTAACCAAGGCCTTTTTCGCATTGAACTCTTCTTGCCATGAGTTGTCATGGCTGCGTTTATGAGGGAGAAGATCCCACTTCCCCAGACTATCCTCTTCATATGATGTCAAGTTGAGCCAGGCGTAAAGATCAATACGCCTCTCTGATCGTTGGCCATCCTCAATTCTGTCAGATGCATTATTTAGCCTCCACTGTGTTGGACCCGATCGCCTGAACTCCATGTCTAGCGGCCATTCGAAAACTATTGCTTGCAAGCGCGAGCCAATCCAACAACTGTATGCCGGCGAGATATTGTCGCCGATGAGGTTTCTGTGCCGCTGACCTAGGGTTGAGTCGTCACAGCCGAACTTCCAGGAAATAAGTATAGAGGAAGTAAGAATCAAAACAACACTGTACAACTGTGTAGCCAAGTTAGCCATGCCAATAGCAAGGACATGGACAGCAAACGAGGCCCAGCCTGCCCATTGAAAGAGACGGTAAAGCCAGTTCCGATATGGCCTAGGTTTCCTGACGAAAATCGGTACAATAAGGTTGTCGGGGATAAACATAGTAATGACCTTTGAATCTGGTGTAATTAGGAGAGTCTTTGCTATTCCTTCCGGGGATTCAACCGCTCGATCAACAGCGTTGCGATTCGCTTGCAGAACATATGCCCGAACAATGACTGAAACCATCAATGCGATCGCGTTGGCCAAGCCATACCAGTCTTTTGAAAGGACTGTCATGGCCAGTAGGAGTCCTAGCAGACAGATGGACAGAACACCGGATATGATTCGGTAGCACAACCAACTCTGAGGGTTGTTGCCAACATCCCAGTATACTATACTGCGTGTAGTTTCAAATTCCTGACATTGCACCCACCTTGAAAACCAGGGTGCCAGATCCGTGGTGTGCATACCTTTGGTCAGATTGTAGAATAGGAACGATGGATTCTTCTTTCTGAAGTGATCACTTGCAATGACAAAGCCTGCGAGTAATGGCATATACTCAAGCCATTTACTGGCGACCAAGCGCCCAACACTGGTATCTAGCGCCTCGGCACCTAGCAGGGAAAGGACACCAAGCGCATCGATGTGAAAAGGCTCCCAGCTCTGAAGAGTAATCCAGGGAAATCCCATGATATCGGCCAATTGGCATCTAGCGTAGTCTAATCCAAGATCACCACGGCCAATAGTACGGCTGACGAACCAGTAAACAGAATGCTTGAGATAAATTATACTGCGGAGTTCATTTCCAAACAGTATAGCTCTAACACTGATTTCCAGAGGGTATTGATATTTAAGATCCAGAATTCTGTAAAACAAATTGCAAGGTCTATCTATAGTTGATGGGTTATGCCTAACCACTATCTACTACAACCCTAATATCTATGACATGACTAAATGACATTCAGAAAAGGTTCGTATCGTGAAACATTAGGTTCCGCAATGCGGCAACATAGATGGTTCAAACTCTAACAAACAACAAAATTCATGATATCATGACTTGCTCTAGCCTTTATGTAGGTTTCTGTCAGGGGTCATAACCCTCTCTAAATAGCACACTTGCTGGAAGACCAACGGGCTTTCCATTGGTGCCTTTCTAGGGCCGTGACCCAATGGTCAAAGCAAGTGATATCAGTCCCTACTTGAGTTTGTGGTTTTTCAAATAATCCATGGGCGGGTTTCAAATATTTTAACTCAGTCCAGACCCAGGCGATTCCGTTGCCTAGGTTCTGGATTGACCTAAAGCCCATGAGTTAACAAGTCTAGACGCCGTTCGAAGAGGCACGTACAGGGTTGTGAGATAATACAGTGAAATGACATATTCTTGACATCATGTGAACTCGTATAATTTTGCGGTTCAGCATCAACCAGAATTCCCAGCATTGTAGTAGACATTTCCAGACCCATGGGCTGTGGAAGGATGTCCATGACCCGTGCATGTGTCCGGCGAGGTCTATGTTGACTTTAACTTCTTATACCACTGCAAAGTCCTCTATAGTTCGAATGTGGCGTTGGCTTATGTTTTTTTGTACACTGCGCGTTATCTGTCCGCAAGCACATCATGACTTTACAAAGCCAAAATCTGAAGACAGTGATCCATGATGGCCGCTTCTGCGAAATTTCTGAAGATGAACTGCTCTTGTTAGTCAAAGACGAGTTTCTTGACGAATTCAGAAAACTTCAACACGCCTACTCAGTCAAGGACCTAAGTGTTCCTAAGATTGACATCCCATCTCCATCATACCGACTATATGGCATGGAGTTCAACGAGGTGAACCGTACTTTAGTGGGGGTCTTGGCACTCCGCTGGATCCTGCAGAAGAACTATGCAACGTTTGTTGAGTGCCAACCTGAAGCCGTGCGGCTGCAACCTGAATCGTTCAAATGGATATGCAAAGTATTTGAAGAAGGTCTCGAGAGAGATACCGATCTGTATTCAATCATCGCATCTATGGTTATCAATGATCTTGGCAAAGTGCGCTATCTCGCGTTTGATTATCATGCGAAGACAGGAGTGGATATTTCAAAACAGAATCATGACATGATACTATACCGAGCAGCTGAAGCTGGGCTTGTTCCATCTTTAGAGCGGCTTCCAGAAGAGGACCAGAAAGATATCCTACTGGGAATCAAACTTGGTGCACAATTTAATTTTGGACAATTGGCCCAAGCAGAAAATGTACCTGCGTGCCTTTTCAGCCTGACAAAAATGAAAGACCACAATCGCGCCTTCAAGTTGCATTTTATGAAACAGATCCTTGATATTGCCGGAGCAGCTGGCCATCTCGATCATACTTGTGCACGAAAACTCATCGAGCCAGTCTTTCAGGCCTATAAAAATGTTCACTGTGTCGCCATGTGTATAATTGAGGGTACACTTGGGCTAAGAGAAGGCTACGACATCATACTCATTCGCAGGCTTGAGTTGTTGAAGCATAACGGCTTCAAAAAATCATTGGACGTAAACATTCCAGAAGAGAGAGCTCTTATCCGCCTATTCTGCATGGGCGGTGCAGCAAGTCTTGAGAATGCACAACTTTATTATGATGCATTTTATAGTATCTGCCACGCTACGCGGGCCGCACTGGTTGACGGACTCGATATTGATGGTTTGGTTGGGAAGCCCGCGGTCCTGCCTACATACATTCCTGCTATGCTTCGGCTGGCACTTAGCAATACGGTCGGAGATTCAAGAGAGGAGAGGCTCTTGGCTCTTGGTTCAATGTTGCGATACTTGACGAGAGTTCTTACCATAAGAGAAATGGACTTGGATAGGGTACCAGAGAAAGTTGTCGTGGTCGAAAGAGACGTGAGAAGTATGATAGAGGATGTTGTGGGAGGAGAAGATTTCAGGTGGAACCCAGGTGTACTGGACACAGTTTCTATCCCTGACAACGTGATCGCAATATTGGCTGACTAGTTTACTGACTTCCCTTTCGTGTCACGAACTAGGGTAATTTTCTTGGCTATATTAAGTATTGGACTGCAAGAATTCACGAAGGCATGAAGATACAGTGGCCGGCGAGGCTTCGAGATTTCAAACATTGAGTAACGGTTACCTAATCTTATCTTGATCGGCCCACGATCGACCGACCTCTCGATTTTGGACAACCTCTTCGCGGATGTTAGACAGACTCAGCTCTTAGCAAAAATCTCTTACCGCAGCCAGAGATCACAGAGATTAGGGCCTCCAAGTCAAGTTAGGAGTCTCAGACGAGCAACTTCACTCAAAAAGAAGCTGCGGGGTTGAAGTTTAACTACATAGGTGGGAGGAGGACTGGAAACCAAAGACGCATCCTGGAGGAATCTCTTTGCCTACCTATAAGTATATAGGTAGAATAGTTGAGCAGATAGTCGCAAGACATGAATACTACATCCATGGCCTGGACATCCAGCTGTAGAACACGTAAGCATCGATATGATGACGCCCTACCACGGAGGCTTCGAATTCACCGCGCAGGAGCACCGGCCACCCTCCGACTATGGAGCCAAGACCTTCCGATTGTGGGTCGCCCAAGAGCTGCACGTTGGGATTGAATTCGCATCCCAGGTAATGTTGGTCCACGAGATAAGAGAAGAGTCATGGTCCTCACGGTCAGGAGGAGGCGAGTCACGCTACTGAGGGCCGGCTGGGCCTAAAGATGGCTGCCAAGCTATTTGATGCGAAGTACCTTGACCCTTACGACCACCCACCCAGCTATGCGATTCACCAGTATATGCGAGAAAGTTCGGCCTACCGTTATCTGATCCGCCATGGCCTGGAGAAGCATATTCCAAGGTTCTATGGCTCGTGGTCTACGATGAGCGCGGACACCCAAGGTCGGCAGCGATCAGTCCGAATGGTCCTGACCGAGTACATCGAAGGGATGGATATGGCGCATCTGCGGCCGGCGGACTTCTCGGCAGCAGAACGCAAGAATCTGCTACAGCAGGTGGTAGAAGCCGAGACGCGCTTCTATGCCCTAGATTTGAGCCATGGCGACTTGTTCCCCCGGAATGTTATAGTGACTGAGACGCGGCGGGTTGTGATCATTGACTTCGGGCTGGCCTCGATTGGTCGCTCTGCCTCCGATATCTACGACTTCGGCGACCCCGATGATCTGCTAGATGGAAGATACATCAGCCCTATCGTGCGCTGGTGGCGGACCGAGGACGCGAACGACGAGTGGGCCTTGTCCGGTTGGATTACCTGGAGCTGGAATCGGTGGCTGGCCGACACTTGGACCAGCGATATTCCCGACATCACGCCGGCCATGCTGAAGTGGCTTCCGTATCCTGAGCGTCAGAAGCCTTTCTTCTATGACTTGTTCCATGGGTGTGATCGAACAGCGCCCAAGTGGTATGTTGCTTATAAAGACCGGACGCCTTTTTAGGTGTTCCTTTCCGGGTGTCATGGACAACCCTCATCTTATTATCCCGATTCAAAATACTGATGACCATTGCCATGATCATGTAGCAACTTCAGAAGAAATTTAAAGCCTGCTCTCAAAGGGCATTTCAGCATCATTTTGCATTAATCTACCATCACATTCTACCTCTTGGGGTGGCTGGGGGGGTTGGGTGGAAGAACCTTGTTCCAGATGGAAGCCCTCACTCAACCCCATTATTGTCCCATTCATTTGTCCTACTTGAGTATTGTGAACTAGCTAGCAACTGCGGGCCAAGAGTACTAATACCTTGATCTCTCGACTCAATGCCTGCAAGCATGATGATCCCCACCGTAAATGGAATGCGGCGTGGGGGTGCCAAGGAACAAGCAGCAGCATTGACCGACATTTCCCCGAATGCAGTCGATCCCTTCCCTTGACTGTGGACATCCATGCATGTACCAGAGTACTATTACAACCTATACATAAATACCCAGCAAGGCACTGCCTTCCCCCGCATCTTCTGCCACCCTCGATATCATCATCTCATCATCATGGTCGGGTCTATCCGTCCTGCCGTGGCCCTGGGCCTACCGACGCTGTGCGCTTTCGCGTCCATAGTTCAAGCGCAAACTACGTCGAGCTCACCAGGTGTGTGATTCCCTACCTAGTCACGCCCTACTAAATGCAATGCAATGATGCCAGCCTCGGAATATGAGCTGACTAACCAGCCATCGTCCAGCCATCGTCGCGGAGGGCACCACCTTTGCCCTCAATGGCGACCAGCTCTCCTACCGATTTCACGTCAACCACACCACCGGGGATTTAGTGTCCGACCATTTTGGAGGCCTCGTCACGGGTGCAATCCCTTCACCCCAGGAACCGGCCGTCAATGGGTGGGTGGGATTGCCCGGTCGCATCCGGCGCGAATTCCCCGACCAGGGCCGCGGCGATTTCCGCATTCCCGCCGTGCGCATTCGCCAGTCCCCCGGCTATACCGTCACCGATCTGCAGTACACCTCCCACGAGGTGGTCCAGGGCAAACATGCTCTACCGGGACTGCCGTCGACCTTTGGCAACGCAGAGGACGTGACCACGCTGGTCGTGCACCTGTACGACAACTATAGCTCCGTCGCGGCGGACTTGTCGTATTCCATCTTTCCCAAATACGACGCCGTGGTGAGGAGTGTCAACATCACCAACCAAGGCCCAGCCAATATCACCATCGAGGCTCTGGCTAGTCTAAGCATCGACTTTCCTTATGAAGATCTCGACATGATTAGTCTCCGGGGCGACTGGGCCCGAGAGGCACAGGTCCAGAGAAGGAAGGTCGATTATGGTGTCCAAGGGTGAGTCGCGCATCAGGGTTGGTGGTCATCATACTAAACGGAAGAATGATATCAGGTTTGGGAGTGACACTGGTTCCTCCTCCCATCTGCACAACCCCTTCCTCGCCATTGTCGACCCGTCCACGACCGAATCCCAGGGAGAGGCATGGGGCTTCAACCTCATCTACACCGGCTCTTTCTCAGCGGCAGTTGAAAAGGGCTCCCAGGGCTTTACTCGCGCATTGCTTGGATTCAACCCAGACCGGTTGTCCTGGGAGCTGGGTCCGGACGAGACCCTCACCTCCCCCGAGTGCGTTGCGATCTACTCCCAGGATGGTCTCGGAGGCATGTCTCGCAAATTCCACCGACTGTACCGCAATCATCTGATCAAGAGCAAGTTCGCCACGGCAGATCGTCCGATACTCCTCAATAGCTGGGAAGGCGTTTACTTTGACTACAATCAAACCAGCATCGAGACTCTCGCGGAAGAATCGGCGGCGCTGGGGATTCACCTCTTCGTCATGGACGATGGCTGGTTTGGCGACAAGTACCCCCGTGTATCCGACAATGCTGGATTGGGGGATTGGGTGCCCAACCCAGCTCGCTTTCCAGAGGGGTTGTCGCCCGTGGTGCAGGATATCACCAACTTCACCGTCAACGGGACCGACTCGAAACTACGCTTTGGCATCTGGGTGGAGCCCGAGATGGTCAATCCCAACTCCACGCTCTACCATGAACACCCCGACTGGGTTCTACACGCTGGACCTTACCCCCGAACGGAACGCCGCAACCAGCTCGTCCTGAATTTGGCCCTGCCGGAGGTGCAGAACTTTATCATCGACTTTATGACCAATTTGTTGCAGATTGACGGCATTTCCTACATCAAATGGGACAACAACCGCGGTTTTCATGAGACTCCCTCTCCATCCAATGACCACAAATACATGCTCGGGTTGTATCGCGTATTCGATACCCTGACCAACCGCTTTCCCGACGTTCTCTGGGAAGGATGCGCCTCGGGCGGCGGTCGCTTCGACGCCGGAATGCTGCAGTACTTCCCCCAGATCTGGACCTCCGACAATACTGATGGTGTGGACCGCATCACCATCCAATTTGGGACCTCGCTGGCCTATCCACCATCGGCAATGGGCGCACACCTCTCCGCCGTCCCCAATGCCCAAACGGGCCGGACGGTCCCTTTCACCTTTCGCGCGCACGTTGCCATGATGGGTGGTTCCTTTGGTCTGGAACTCGATCCAGCAACCGTGCAGGATGACGCCACGGTTCCGGAGCTGCTTGCGCTGGCCCAAAAGGTCAACCCCTTGGTTCTGACGGGGGACCTGTACCGCTTGCGACTACCAGAGGACTCGCAGTGGCCTGCTGCACTGTTTGTCTCGGAGGACGGAGCTCAAGCTGTATTGTTTTACTTTCAGCTCAGGCCAAATGTCAATCATGCGGCGCCGTGGGTGAGGCTGCAGGGACTCGATCCGGCGGCGGAGTATACGGTGGATGGGAACGAGAGGTATTCGGGGGCCACGTTGATGAATATGGGGTTGCAATTTACTTTCGAGACGGAGTACGGTAGTCAGGTGGTTTTCTTGGCGAAGCAATGAGGGTTGCTGGCATGATGAGATCATTACTCACTAATTATCTTAACGATTGCTGCCTTTTGTCTACAGACCTTCCAAACCAGTATTGCATTAAGGCGAATGGTTTGCCTAAAGGCTGACAAGATATTGTTCCATGTGGGTCATGTGTGCGCTCTAGATCATAAGCAGAAATGTGTTTCAGTCACTTCGGCTGGACTGAGCATAATACTGGCCTGTAGTGTATACTTTTCATGGATTGGGTGGAGGCAAAAACACGCCTGAAAGTGGAAGAGTCCCTTCGACTGCCTTGGGCCGGGGCCCCTTTCTATGTACTGTACCTAAGGCACTACATGAAAGTCTTCCACGCGATTCATTTTCCCTTCCAACACTTCCGTTTCTCGTTATCATAGGGGGCCCTATTGAGGAGGTCCCGCGTCATCGCCTGGGTCATGGGGCTGGTCCTCGTCGCGGCCAGATCGGATAGGCTTCTCATACTCGGTGATCGTCATGGCATACTGCTTGTCAATCAGGTCTGCACAGACTTCAATCAGCTTGCCATCTCCGAAACGGACGATTCCCCGCAGAGATTCCGCCAGTCCGTGGCACCGAATCCGCATCCAAGTCAGGAAATCCTGCATTTCATGGCAAAATTGAGCCGCGCATAGTTCCCCTTTCTGTACTCGTTGATCAGTCCCGTTCCTCGTCCTCACCAGCGCGCGCCAAGGCGTCAGCGTACCTCATTCGAAATAACCTTGAGCAAGTGGCCAAACACTGGCTTCATGGGCAGGGCTTTTTTGGTCAGCTTGGTACTGCGGATGGGGTCCAGAACCTCCAGGGCGTCTGCCTCAGCCGTGGCCTGGGTCACGATGTTCTCGATGTCCTGGGTCAATTGCCGGGTGGTCTGTAGGGTCTCGGGCGTGATTTGCGACATCTCGAGGGTTCGGTCAAGCTTGATGCCAGCGAATCCAAGTCTCTGCAATGTCTTGACGAGGGGGAGGAATCCTCCGCTGGGTGGAACCCCATCGTCGAAGTCGGGGTCGCTTGGTTCGCCCGGCAAAGCGAGAACGGAGCTGAACAAGGTAGACACCAAAGTCAAGAGAGTGAGGATCAGATGCTGCATGATCATTTTGACGGCGACCCAGACTTAGTTCGTGTAGAAGAGCGATGATACCGACAGGAAATGTCATTCGATCCACCCGTCATGGATGATATATAGTGGTCTTCGTACGGACTTACCCGATCCATGGACATCAATCTATCGGTCCGGAGTTTCCCAGGAGAGCAACATGGAACACGAAGCCCATGGCTCTCGATGACCGATCTACTTTGAACGGGACATGTGTCACTACTGACGGATAGCCCCTCCAGCTGAGACACGTTGTGCTGATTTCATACACGGCTTGCTGCAGCACTTCGGTAGCACACGCGGTACACGGGGACCGGATATAGGATCATTTCTATTGCACTATCTCAAGCGTGATACATCCATCGTTCAAGGGAGTTCCCATTGAGAATTCAAAGTCATTCAAAATCATCATGGCATCAGCGAAAAGGATTCGGGGTCTCCCCCCAGGGACCCACGCCCGGTCCTTTAAAGAGCCTACCAGCTTTCCATACATGGGTGATCACTTGATTGTCTTGCAAGATTCGGATGTCTTCCAGGGGATTTTCTTCGAGTGCAATCACATCTGCTTCATACCCCTCCTTCAGCTGGCCCGTCAAGGGAGCCTGTGGACCGATGCACAGCGGGGCATTGGCCGTGGCAGCCTTGATGGCTTGGAGGGGCGTCATGCCTGCCTTCTCGACGGCCAGCTGTAGCTCTAACGCCGTGGGCCCCCCGGGGGCAGTGTCGGTACCCAGGGCAATGGTGACACCGGCCTTGACCGCTCCTTGGTAGGCTTTCAAATGCGAGTCCGCCAGTACTTGCAATTTTCGCCACGACTCTTTGGGTAGTCCTTCTCCATTGTTGGCCAGGGCCACCTCAGTCACCGTCCGGGTGGCCACGTACAAGACGCGTTTCTCTTTCATCAGCTCAAAGACCTCCTCGTCCGCCTCGGACACATGCTCTAGACTCTTGCAGCCCGCGCGAATGGCCGCCAGAATGCCCGCTTTCCCATGCACATGGGCGGAGACGATGCGGTCCTGGCGTGCGGCTTCCTCCACCATGACTTTCAGCTCCTCGGGGGAGAATTGCGCGCATTTGGGGTTATCGTCCCGGGACATGACCCCGCCAGAGGCCATGACTTTGATCACCTTCGCCCCCCGACGGAGTTGCAGCCGCACGGCGCGTCGAGCCTCCTCGACCCCGTCCACGATGCACACAGGCCCTGCCCCCCAGTGGCCGGGGCGCGGACTCTGTGCCCCGAAATTTCCCAGCACCTCCCCGGCGGGCAGGCCGAAGATATCCCCATGACCGGCCGTCTGGCTGATCGCCGCCCCGGCCCCATAGACGTTGGGCCCAACGATCGAGTCATCCTCAATCGCCCGGGCGATCTCGCACCCATACCCGGCCATATCGCGGTAAGAGGTATAGCCACTCTGCAGGGCTTCCCAGCAGCCCCGAGCCAGTCGGGCGCCGGAGGAGGCCGGGTGAGTGGCGAGAAACGCCGTATAGTCATTGTAGTACTGGTCCTCGCCCCCGAAGTGCATGTGGCAGTCCCACAGACCGGGCATTAGGACGACTACGTTGTGGCTCGTGTGCGGTCCGCGCAGGTATCTCTTGGGGATATCGGCTTGCCGGCCTACAAAAGCAATGATTTTGTCAATGATTACCAAGGCCGCATTTTCCAGGGGATTTCCGTCTCCAGGGATTAGGATACTGGCGTTCACAATGGTGACTCGAGGCTGATCGATGGCTCCTCCTTCGGGAGACCGCCGATGGACGTTCATGGAGATTGCGGTCGGTCGCATCGTATAGGCTGAAGCCAGCGCCGCTGAGCCGGTGGGTCGCCGAACCATATTCACGGATGTGACTTGGATAGGGTCATTTACAAGGGACTAACAAGCTCCTGGGTGGAGGGAGGGGGGAGGGGGGGAATTGTCCTGGCTCCGGTCACCACCACGTCACGTGATTTGGTTTCCGGACTGCCGTCGGAGGTCCGGAGACCCTCTCCCAAGCTGGTTCTCGCCAAGATAAAATGACAAATCAGGAATAAGTTAACTAATTACTGTACACCGGCAGGGATGCAGTCTGGAGAACGAGGCGCGTAAACTGTGGTATGCATCGTTTGAGAGAACTACTATTCCCACCCCCGAGCATTGAGGAACTGCTCATGTAACCGGGCGGAAATAAATATTCGCACTCTGGAAGCCGGTTCAGATGCAGGAGATATTTGACATGCTTGCTCAAGTTTGCGACAAACAGACAAGACATTCTCTACAGTTTCGCCCTCTCCTGGGAATTCAATTCACGACGAACGGGTCCGCCTCGACTGCCGTCTCCCAAGAAGACATCATCGCGCGTGGCGTAATCGGTTCGAAATCTCCATTTCTGCGCCAGATCCTTCGGCAGCCCCTTTCTCAACGCCAGCGACAGGTACTCACCCAGGACGGGGAGGAACTTGAATCCACTAGTGGAGATGGTCAGTCTAAACCTCATTCCTTGATGATTTTCTTGCTTGTGTAGTCCTTACTGTCCACTGCCCGCTCCCCCAATAAACAGATTCTTGTAGTCAGGGTGGTAGTCCATGATGAAGTCCCCGGTGGGCGTGTCGGTGTACCAACACAAGGCCAGCTTCTCGAAGGGTCGATCGGCCAATTCGGGGAGAATCTCGCGCAGTCCGTCGCGCAGCCGAACCTCCCCATCGGCGGGCACGAAGTTGCGGCGCTCGCGGGGCGGAATCAAGGGGGGCGCCGAGACATTCGTCTGGTTGGAGAGGACCTCCTCCTGGCCCGGCGTGCGGGTGTAGCCCCATCCGTGGACGGCGAATTTGAGGATGCCCGTCTCCTCATGAGGGGGGAAATTGAACCACCCCGTGGAGAAGTTGGCATACATGGGGAGATCCTTGTACTTCACCAGTTCCTCCGGGGTCAGGCGCAGATAGGCAACGACCTGTCCGGTGGTCAGGGTGGAATTATACATGGGGACCAGGCTCGAGGCCCAGGCCCCGGCCGTGAGGAGGAAGCAGTCGCCCTCGATTGGACTGCCGACCAGAGTCCGCACGGCCTTGATCTCTTGGGCGGCATCGGTCTCGAGTCCGACCACCGTTCCTCTGCGACCGCACACAAATGAGACTCCCAGCTCGAGACAGTCGTCCCGGATCTGACTGATGGCCTTGTTGGCATCGGCCCAGCCGGCCTGGGTGTTGAGATAGCCATTGAACGGGGGAGCCGCCAACGCGCCACTGAGAACGGGGTGGATCTGCTTGGTGGCGTGGACATCGTCGAGCCTGGTGAAGGGCAACTGCCGGCGGGTTAGGGCTGCGGTGGTGCTGGCAATCCAGGCCTGGCCGTGGGCACTGGTGTTGCCCGTCAGGATGAAGGGGGCGGGATAGAAGATGCCCTGGTACTTGGGCTTGGTCCACTCCAGATAGGCCTGATGCGAGATCCGCAGATAGTCATCGTCTGCATAGTCGAAGCGGATCATGCGTGAAATGTCGGAGCTGGAGCCATCGGCCACGGGGGGCATCGAGCGATCCAGCACCAGCACCTGGCGATATCCCTCCAACGCCAGTTGACGGGCGGCCGCCAGACCAAACACGCCCGCCCCTACAATGACAATGCGACTGTCTTTGTTGTTCATGGTGGTGATAGATTCACGGAGGAGAACTGCCAGATGTTACCTCATTGATGTCAGACTTGTTTGAATTTTTCATTTTTGCCTCCCCCACATTATGAGGAGAATTCCCCCATGGTTCTGTCCCGACTGGTTCTGATTCCCCCGTCGGCTGTTGTGTTGCCCCCACTTCCCCACCCGCTTTTGCCGACCGACCGATCGATCCGCCCTCCATAAGAACGGGAAGACTGCATCTATATTCAGAGACGATGGACGGAGTATATAGTAAGTAATATGCTCCAGTACTGCCAGGATCGTGGCCCCCATCAGCAATAGCAATTATCTTAGCTCGAGCTAGCTTAGTGCAGCGATCAACAACACTTTCGTGGCCTCCTCAGCAGTGAGCACTTCTCCCGACGAGGGGCCTGGTCCGATGTCGGGCCCGCAAATTAGAGCCCATGGTCAACCACCAGGTTAAGGATCAACTGCGTTCATCGCGGGGGACGAGCCGCTTCTCTCCCCCATCGACGTAGCGGAGGACAAGCCAGAGTGACGTTGAGGACCTGCTTGGGCGATGGGTAAGTGTCAGTCCGGTTGAGGACCGAGGACCCGGACGAGGACTGGGCAAAATCGGATAGAAGTGGGAATTGTCAAGTGATGTAAGGTTGCAGTAATCAGGTGGAGTAGTCAGTCAATTGTCCTCGCAAGAGGAAATCAATACGAATAAAATCTACAGTGTATTATGGTACGCTCTGCTACATCCTTTTGTGTACTCAACTTGTACGGCGGCGGCTGTGGCTTGCTAATCTATGCTTTGCATAAATCTGTGCTTACGGAGTATGCATAACCTGTAGTTACCTGTGGTTATTGGAAGGAACTTGTGCAATTGTTACTGAGCTCGACCGGCTCGTCTGCCAAAGCGCCGCTGGCAAATAGTTCGTCAACACTGGCTTGGTTAGTTTACACTTTGTGGCAATTGATACAACAGTGTAAAGAGACAAAATGAGATTCAGCTATGAAACCAGCGCATGCCTCCAGCTAATTGGCCTTTCTTTTGTCCCCCATTCTCACTACCTTATTCATGCTAGCAGCTACAGTTGACATGGCATGCAGCCAGCAATTCCACGCATATAGCAGCGGATTATATGGGCTTTAATGGTGCCATGTCCTAGTCCAGGCTTTGCCTACTAGGACGAGCAACTGCCCTCCTGCTCCTCCGACCAGGGTTGCCACTGGGGCGCACTTCCCTCTTCCCAACCCCCAGTCGGCCAGGACTTGACGGAGGAGGTCTTGGAGTGACCCTGAGTGGCAAGAGTGGTCCGTTGACCGGCTGCGGTAGCCCAGCTGGGAGCCTGGCTGGTGGAACTGGAAGCGGCCACCTTGGCCTCTGTAGCGACAGCAGTAACGGAACTGACGACGGCCGTGTGAGCAACGCTGCTCTCTGCAACAGCTGCTGCTGCAGCGGTGGTCTCCACGAAGACAGCAGCCGCGGCTTGAGTAGTAGAGACACTAGCAACCGTGCTGGAAGCAGCAGCAGCAGCAGCACTCGACGAGCTGCTGGAGCTGGAGCTGGAGCTGGAGCTGCCGCTAGGCGTCATGCAGGCAAAGCTAATCTGCTTGGTGAACTTGGAAGAGTCGGCCTCATACACCACCACGGACAGATCCCAGTCCATGTTCACATACGGCCAGCAAATGCGACCGTCGGACATGGTCACCATGTCACCGGCGATGTAGACATCGGTGCTGGAGAAAGCGTCCCCCACCTTCTGCCCACTCGCATCCACCTGCTGGAAGTAGGTGCCGGCGAATTTGCCCTGGCAGCCCATGGCAATGTAGTCACAGGTCGGATCGGAAATCTCCTCCCAGGTGATCAGGGCCGAGCTGTTCCCAAAGGTTGCGGTATGGGCGTTGGAGCAGTCGTTGGAGCCCGAGGTAACCCAGGTCACTTGGCTGTCCCCATCCTCGGCGCCCACGGTCGAGGTCGCCTGGGCGCCCACCTTGGTGTATTTGTCGGAGAAGAGCGCCAGGGCGACGTTGCGGGGGTTGGTGCGATTGTTGACGTTGGTGTATCCATCGCCCATCCAGCTGTTCTCCGTCACATCGATCGCACCCCGCGACACCCAAGTGAAGATGTAGCGGCTGCTGTCGGCAAAGCGCGCCAGGCCGCTGTAGCTGCCGGACATGCCACCCATGGGCTCGCCCGAGGCCCCGTTGGTAGTGTTTTCGTTGGAGATCTTGACCCCGTTGTTGGTCATGCCCTGCGTCTGGGTGTTCAGCCAGATGGCACCCTGGTCCTCCGCACAGATACTGGCGAAGGGAGGCTCATCGGCCGCTTCGAAGGCAATGCCAGTGTTGTGACTGCAGCCCCAGGCGCTGGAGGCCCCACTGATGTCTAACAAAGTTCCGTTGGTGGCCACGTACTCGATACTGTCGCCGTAGTGGCCCTCGGCCCAGCCGGAGTAGTCACTGACCACAAAGTAGGCTCCGTACATCCCCGCCTCTTCTGAGTAGACCAAGTCGCCGTTCATATCCACCGCCTCGGCCAGACCATCGGAGGCGTGCACGTCGGGGCCCCCGAGCCAGGTCTTCCAGGTCTGTTTGCCATTGGTGTAGCGGTGCAGGACAGGGACGGGGGTGTCGCTGGGGGGCGCGTTGGTGGTGCCGGAGGGCATCACCTCGTTGGTCAACAGAGCGAAGCCGTCATCGTGGGCAACGAGACCACCCGCTGCCGTGCGTATTAGCTTGCATGTATCTTATGTAGAGCAACCAGACCCGAGGCACCAGAATGGCTTACCTTCCTTACCACCGCTGACCGTCACGGAAGTGCCCGTGGCCTTGAAAGTGGTGGGGTCCAGCTCGGTGACATGGACGTCGGTTCCGCTCGAATCGAGGTAGGCCAAATAGGCCGTCTTGCCGTTGGGAGAAACCGCAAAAGGAGTCCGACGGTGATGCGCCAAACTAGTCCAGTAAGCGGCTTCGATCGGGTTGAAGGAGTTGTCGAGTGCCAGCACATCGACATGAGTTTCGAGGTTGGATGCGGTCAAGCCGGCAGAGGCGCCCAGCGCCGCAGAAAGCAAAGAAAGAGTGAAAAGCCCACGCATCATGGAGGGCGGTAGTTGGTGAAGCTGCTGTCTGCACAAGGAGTTGACAGGGGTCTCACCGTGTGGGATCCTGGGCTAGATATACTTGCGGGAACTCTGCAATCCCTGATCCACCCAGCCGGGTGACCCTGGAAGGGTGCAATGCCGAGTGTGGTGTCAGGGTCTGTCGGAAATTAGCATTGATGGTTCAGGGTCGTTAATACCTGATATTCTGTTTTCCCATTGGCTCTTGTGGAGTAAATTGACGTGGGTGGAGTCTTGGTTGAGACCTTAAATGGGTATAAGAGGGGGAAATGAGGTTTCATTTTAATTCTGCAGCCCGGCCTCGTCCCAGCCCTAAACCAAGACATACTCTTTCGACCACCAGACTAGAATGGGCGGTAATTGGAATCTGTTTCAACGAGCCGCACACTCGAAATGATTTTAGTATTGTTAGTAGTGCCCATGGGGGATTCTCCTGAAGCTGTCACGCAGGACTGTCAAGCGCCGTGTGGCCGCGATGAAACACCCGCTGACTACAACTGAGACACGGCGATTCATGGCATTTCTCGGCGCCTCTCCTTTTTTTTCTCCTTCTTTTGTCCTTTGTCCCCTTCTTTCTTTCCCGTCCTGCTCGCCCGGTATACCCTGATGTGGTCAGATTGGAACTCAGAGCTTAAGGTTAAGGTTGCTGCGGATCAGCATGAGATCAGCAGTAGACGTGGTAACTTACTTCCTGGGCGTACTGTACCGTATGTACCGTAGTACACCCTCCATGTCTGATGTGACACTTGATCTGAAACGCAATGGCAGAACAGTCAACACCATCCGCTGCTATTGCTGGGACACTAGCCATCAGGAGAGCATTCCGATCTTTGTAGGCATGTGTGCCTTTGTGCCTGATCAGGCCGCAGCATGCTCGGCGTTGTTGGTGCCTGAGGCGACGGTGGCCTCGGGAAGATCCGACTTGGCAATGGCGATCAGTGTAACCATCGAAACCATCGAAACCATCGATACAATCGATCTCGATTCACTTCCTTCCTCAGTACTGTATGGTTCGAATGGAATTTAAGACCAAAAACCCATTAAAGCAGCTGAAGTGAACGGACTGGTTCCTCCAAAGATTCTGCGAGGTTCCCCTCCGCTTCGCCTCCCACCAACAACAGCCAACCTCGGTCGTGCTCCACCCGGAAAAAGTCACTCCAGGCGAGGATGACGCGGCAGGCAACAAAGTTTTTATCCTCTGGACAAAGGCTCAGCCACATGGCCCATAGTCAGTCAGGTCAGGCACGAGTACTCGAGTAAACATACTAGTACTAGACTAAGGCTGGCCAAGCTTTTTTCGACTGGTTCCACGACGTCACTCCCTCCAATCTTTCCATTATATCCCGTCAACGCCCACCCCCGCCAAAGTATCTCAACCCGACCCATACCACGCTCACAATGAGGCGGTTGTTTCTGCTCGTTCTGCTGGCGTTCACGCTCCTGGTCAGTGCCAAATCGACCACTTCCGACCGAACCACCATTAGCACCACCTCATCGGCCTCGACTGGCTCGGACATTCTCGTGGTGGTTACCTCCGCCTCGGAGGTGGTACCCACTGGCAGTTATCTCAGCTACACTACCACTATCACACTGGCCCAGAATGGATCGCTGTCGACGACTGCAGTTGCCAGTACGGTGAGCAACTCCATGATCAGCAATGACACAGCGACAGCAACAGGCACGACTACTACGACCGACACAGCAGTTCAGCTCAGCGGCACGCGGGTCATGACCAGCAGCAGCACCGCCACGGCCACCACGGGTGCCAACTCACAGCCTTGCAATGGCTACGCCGAATTCTGCGAAAGGAAATATTCCAACATCACGATGGTGACCGCTCACAACAGTCCCTTTGTGAAGAAGAACAATGTCGCCGCCAATCAGGCATACCCGGTCCGCACTCAGCTCGATGACGGCGTACGCATGGGTCAGTTCCCCATCCCTCGTTGCACACTACGCCTTCACTCACTGTCAGGCAGTCTCCTTCGAAGCACATTACTATCAGGATGACATCTACCTCTGTCATACCTCGTGCGAATTGCTGAACATGGGCACCCTGGAGAGCTACCTCACCAACGTCACCGACTGGGTCAAAGAGAATCCCTATGACGTGGTGACGGTGTTGATTGTTAATTCCGACTACGTGGATCCTTCCAACTTCACGGCTCCCATCCAGAATTCTGGCTTGATTGACTATGTTTACGAACCGTGGAAAATCCCGATGAATGTCAGCGACTGGCCGACCCTGTCAGAAATGATTCTGGCCGAGAAGCGCGTGGTCGTGTTCATGGACTATCAGGCCGATCAGAGCTCGATCCCGTACATTCTCGACGAGTTCAGCCAGATGTGGGAGACCCCCTTTTCCCCTCTCAACGCTTCATTTCCTTGCACGGTGCAGCGACCACCGGGGATCACCACGGCGGAGGCGGAGGAGCGGATGTATATGATTAATCACAACCTCGATATTGAAGTGATGCTGGAGGGGATTGAGATTCTGATCCCAGATACCGCGCAACTGAACACCACCAATGCTGTATCCGGGTTCGGCAGTCTGGGGCTAATGGCCAACAATTGCCGGGGTAAGTTTGGGACTTGAATCATCCTGCGGTGCACTCATGATGACACTGACATGGGATATGTATTGTGGCAGCCAAATGGGATCGTCCCCCCAACTTTCTTCTAGTCGATTACTACAATGATGGCAACTTTCCCGGATCAGTATTCGAGGTTGCGGCCCGATTGAACAATGTCACGTATAATGGTAAGTGCTGTGGAGCTACGAGTGCGGCTGCGCACCGGGTCAGGGCTGCAGGTGTAGGGATTTTGGTGCTGATGTTCTGGGCCGGAGTGGCTTTTGTATGAGATTTGCTACAATAATCAACTTGGTAAACCTTTTCAACACGAGAGAGATTCAAACTATCAGCTGATCCGCCTATGCCTTCTCCATTCGTCCTTCAATCTCCTTGTTAGAAATCAGGGAATGAATGTGTTTTCGGCAACGTCCGACTAGACCCCAGCCTCTCTTCCCCATGGCTCGAGTTCGCTCATCCAGCCACCGTTCTGCCTTGGTGCACACTAACTCCCAGATATTTCTCGAATCTTGACATCGTCCCTGCAGGTGTTCAATCGCTAGAACTGTGGCAAGAAGCGAACCGTCGTCGCAGTGTGGAAACGTTTGACTCGGCTGAATGCCGGCCTGCTGCCACCAACGCACAAGCTGCCTACGCATCATGGATTCGTCCAGCTCCAACACCTCGAAAAGCTCTGGTGACCATTGCCAGCTTCCGTCAAAGATCTGCAAGTCAATCACGCAATATATCCGTCGCCGTGATGCGCTTGGGAAAGTCGCAGAGCGGGGCACTGGCACGAGAGGACTGCCACCGCCTCGTAGGGTGGGTATCTCGCCACCTCTCGCACCTGCTGGCCCTCCCCCTCTTCCTCCCCCTCTTCCTCCCCCTCTTGTGCCACCTCGTACACCACCTCTGGCACCACCTCTGGCACCACCCCTCGGAATCCCCAGTGAACCACCTCTCCAACCACTCAACATAGCATAACACATGGAGGAACCAGGTAAGACATGACCCATAGATGAGTCTGGACCCATGTCCGGTTGGTGTGGGAGAGTCACCACGACAGTTGAACCAGATGACGAGCATTCTCCCGATAGAAGAGCGCCTTCATCGACTGCCATGAAAGACGTGTGGTGGCCCGAGAGCTGGTACTGGAGACCCAGACGTTTACATTCCTGTATAGCTAGCCTTGACTGAGTCACGCAATTGTAGAGCTGATCATGCTTGTCCTTGGCACGGGCGACCCATCCGTCAGACTCTTCCAAATCGGTGATTATCCTGCGGGCTGCAAGCTGGTGAATAGTCTCGCCACAACCCATGTCTTCCACGGCAATGTCAAGTGTCAGTGGACCATGTTTGGAGGAAGCACGGATAGTCAGCGAGCGTGGAGCTCGAGCCGATGTGAGAAGAAGGTAGACCGTGGTGCGAATGAACGGGTAGAGGGTTGGAAGGTGCTGTGGAGCTTGAATGATACTCGGAGGCTGCACAACTGGAGGCTCGCTCGATGTGATATCAGTGTCATAGTCCCTCGAGTTGGGGTTGAAGAGCAGGATAGGTCTCCGAGGGGATGGTTCTGGGGTGGTGGTGGTGGTGGTGGTGGTGTCTGGCTCCTGCACCGGCTCCCGCTCTTCATGATTAACCACCTCGAGACCAGCATTCGGCTCATCGTCGTTGACAGTCAAAGAATAATCATAAATGTGCGGACTCAGAGCCCCCTTGAGCATACGCACGACAGTGCAGTCCAGCTCCTCATGAAGCACGACCGACTGGGCAATCCCATCACCAGCACGGGCGATACCGTTCACAAGGGCATGAGAAGCAGAGAGGCCGATGCCCAAGGCGAAGAAGCGAGCTGTGTGGTTAGCCGCAGTGGCGCGGATAAAGTCGCACAGCTCTTGCTGTTGGTGAATTTGTCCATCGGTGAGAATCAGAACCTCCAGCTCCCGTCCCTTCAGGCGACGCTTCACAGTTGCTTGGACAGCAGCCGTCATCTCCGTGCATCCCATGTCTGCATCCAGGCAGTCTACCAGAGCCAGTGATTTCTGCAGACTGGGGCCATCGTAGGCCCGACTGCGAGCCCAGAGAAACTGGTGCTGGGTCCCGAAAGAGCAGATGTTGAGATAGGTGCCCACGGGCACCGACTTCAGAAAGACCCGGAGAGCAGACTTTAAAGTTGAGACCTTGTCCCACATGCTGCCACTACGGTCAATCAGGAAAACCACTTCCGGGTCGGACGCAGGGATGTGAAACCGGGGTACAAGGGTAGCCATCATGGCACGCTGGTTGGGGAGGGTGGGATGACATTCGATCAAAGCCCGAGGAACATCTGTCTTATCGGCTTTGATCACCAGGACAAAGTCTCGCTCCAATATGGGGCTTCCACTGGCGACATGCAGCGTTGCGAAGGCACAGTTCTTTGCGAATTCGGTACATTCCTCGGGGGTGGATGAAGCCCGGCCCAGTCTGACACGGATGGGATGGCTGGGTGACTGAACCATCCGAATTGCGCTTTCATTCTCCATGACAACGTCTACAACTATTTCGAGGCCTTGCGTGTCTGTTGGGGTGATCAGAGTAGACACGACCTGATCCACCCTATACCCATAGCGAGGTGCAATGCCATTTGGCAAGGTGTATCGAATGCCCTCGTTTTGCGCGTCGGTCTTCAGCTCCCCCACAGCAGTGATGCTCACTGTGATGGTCTCCCGAGGAGGGACATTGCCCAGCCGCAGTAGAAAGATGTCCGAGTCTTGACTGGACTGGTCAAGCACACCAGCTGAGGCGCCACGCGAGACGGCGGTTTGATAGTCTTGGCCAGCTTGTTCTTTGGTCTTGACCTCGCTGCGCAAGACTCGATCGCCCACCTGGCATCGAAATCCGACGACACTAACCCCGTCGAAGAATGGAAACCGATAGCAGACCTCGTGAAGCACCCTAGGTCCCGGGTTTTTGAATGTCTGGGTCAGAGTTGTGCGCGAGGTGGTGGCTCGTAGGACTGCGTGGGCTTGAAGGCCAACCTGTGGAATATACCCCCAGGCGTAAGTATCGCGCTCAAAATAGCAACAACCGCAGATTTTCTTCATTGCGCTATGGTGTATCCAAGCGGCGTGGCTGGTAACGAAGCCTGTGCCGATTTAACTGGTTTGGTAGTATGGACGTGGTTCGCGTGGGCGTCTTCCATTTATGTATCAATATTGCCTGCTAAGGCGGGGATACTGACTCATTCAGAGGCCACATCTGTCCCCTTGGTTAATGGGTAACGGTGAACATAACAAGACTCGCACTCCATGGTAAATGCTTTGCTACCCAAGGTAGCTGACACCGGAACACGCCTCCGATCACAGCCATTATGTCATTTCCAGCGGGTTGAGTGACTCATGCACATAGCCTTACTACCTTACTAGCTTCAGATGATCAGAAAACGACAATCCGCTGCTCTGGACCGGGCGAACCGAATCCAGGTTACATCGGGACTCAACTTTGTTTCCCAGTATGTCTTCAAAAAGGCCAGCACGCGGTCGCGGTCCAGCCGGCCACTGATCCGCATCACGGCCAGCATTGCACGTTCCACCGTCGCCTGTTTGGCGGGACATCCTCTGCACTCAGTGCCAGCGATGAAAAGTGGCCAGACCAGATCCTGGGCAAACGACGTGCTGTGGGCCAGACAAGAGATGTGGTCCAGCACTGCATCACGCGATATGAAAATGCACGGTTCTTCGGCGGAACTATCCCCTAGGACCCGATGACTATATATCAAGCACGCATGGTAGTACATGGAGGAGAGATGGTCGAAATCTCGCTGTGCGTCAGCCGACCGAAATTGAATACGCTGGCTGAGCAGCAAGGTCCTGGATTTCGCCGCATCGATCTCCTCCATGATACCCTCCAGTGTGGGCAGGATAGCGTCGGGGTTCCCAGCGTGGTTCTCCCGCTCAGCACGAGTGACAGTCTGCATGACTTGAACAAAGTCGCTGAATACGGTTAACGTATCGTAGGTTTGAATTGTTTTCGAGATGTCCTCCGAAGGGTCGAAAGTCGTCAGCCCCATGAACACTGAAGAATAGTAGTACTCATAGAGCAGAAAGACATCCACTTGGTCTTCCACATTGCGACGAGCGACGACCTGGGACATCCATTGGATGACCGCGCGCGCCCCTTGAATGTGTACTCGCCAACGCGCATCTTCTGCCGTCAGCAGCTCCACGTTGTACAGAAGCAGAATTGCGGCGAGAATATATCGTGCTTGGTGGGTATGCCCGGGCGACCCCAAGCCGTTTCGTGGCAGCATGTCCAGCTGCTGTCCGAGCAACGACAGGGTCTTGCTTTTATAGTCCAACGAAGCCGCCTGCAGGCGGCGCAGGCGGTGCCCACTCTCATAGCGAAGGATCAAGTCTTCCGAAGCCATTGCGAGAACAGAGTAGAGGACTACCGGAGACGAATGCGTCAATTGCATGACGATGTTTCGCCAGGGGTTGTCGGGCCCATCCACCCATGCAAGCCTTGTCGCGACATGCTGGTCAAAATGAGCTAGCAAGTGGGACAAGAGGGCTTCTGCCGGACTCTCTAATTGAATGTAGATCTCCGATCCCGTCAGCTCCGCATTCTGCAGCTGAGAGTGATGCGGAGTGCGACATTCCCTGAGCTCTTCTTCCCCGTTCTCATTTTTCTTGGGCACGGGAATTGCCTGGCCGCTTAGTTTGCCTCGACTGGCCACCCCTTGGACCCATTTGAACACCGGCCCATAGCCTGGACAGTCATAATTACGCGAGATGCATTTCCGGCACTTGGGCAAACTCCGGTCACATCGGATTCGTCGGGACTTGCACTTGGAACAGTCTGGAGGTCCGCCTTTTGTGGTTAGTGTGGCTGGAGGGGAAGATGCCAGCTGCGGGAGACTGACCTTTGTCGGAAGCAGTGCTTGGGGGTAAATGGCTAAAGACGCCTAGCATCAGGCGGAATGCAGGAGATGGGTTTCGATCAATCTGAGGAATATCTAGCTAGTTAGTCGGTTGGTTGTCAATACCAGGTTGACGACAAGGTCGCACGCTCAAATTTTTGCTGGGTCATGTGACCCACACGGGATCGGGCGGGGTTATTGTGCATTCTGTCTATTTTGTATATCTCATGGTCCCAGCAACAATACTGCACTTAGTAGGTGAATAAGAAGTGATAGAATGTGGTGAATCTTATCAACGTCATAAGTTAAAGATAGCTAATGAATACTTCTGACGAGATCCAGTGCATGAGCATTGCCTACCCCACTACCGCCGTCTGGGTGATCCCATTTAACAAGTAGCCCTGTTCCTCCCACCCTTGCAGCGCCATCCCAAACAATCGACTTTGTTCATCGCGTGAAGATGCCCCATGAGTCTTGCCACGGCGGACCCGCGAGCTGTCACACTCCACCAGCGTGATTTCGTCATCCTCCGGAGCGGCGGTCATCTCATACGTGCGATACTCGGTGTTGGCCCAGCCCGTCCCTTCGTACACACAACTGTCTTCCCAATCCTCAGTCAGGAAGTGTAAGAAGGCCCCATGGGTGACTACCACCACCTCCTTTTCTGGCCTCTCATAGAGCCACCGCCGGGCGGCACGAGCCCGCTCCTGAATCGCTTCTCTAGTGGGCTTGTATCGTCCGTCCTAGATATGATAGGCATCCAAAGTCAGCCCCAACGGGTCTCTCTGGCACCCATCGGGTGTACTGTACTGCTGTTCTACTCACCTTGCTCGTCCACCCGTCCTCCACATGGCTCCAATCTATGTGAACGCCCAACTCCTCCGTTTTCGCTTGAAGTGCGGTCACTTCACTTCCAATGTCGCAGGGGAAGCTGCTGATCTCCTGGAGATCCGGCAGAGCCACCAACCTGGAGTCTGGGAGACGATCGAACAGCGGCTGGAAGCTCTCCACTGCGGTAGCGATGGCACGATGCATGGGCGACGATACGACAAGTTCAACGCGGGAATGCGAGGGGAAATGCTCTCTGAGCTTGGAGCACTGCTCCCTGCCCTTCTCGGTCAGAGGCGGGTCCACGAGAGACCAGTAGGCCATGCCGAGATTATGCAAGCCCTAGAGTTGATTGTCGGTCAAGTCAGGAATGGGGGAAGCCGATGGCCATGAATCGCACCTCTGCGTGGCGGACCAAATGCAGTCTGGGAGCCATGGCCAAGTGTGGAAACCCGTGATGGTGGAATTGCCTTCCAAATCGAGCTGTAAAAATAGGCGGACAAACAGACAGCAGGCTGGCAGATGGGGGGAATGGAGAGGGAGACTCAACGAGAACCGAATTCCAAGGGAAGGGCAGGGCAGGGCAGGGCAATGCTTCTGTTATGGAGAGGAGAAGGGGCGCTGGCGGCCTGAAGAAGCGGGCGCCGTTCAGGCATCGACGGTGGAGCTGCAAACGATGCAAAAGCTTATTTTTACAGCTTGGCTGCCCTTTCGGGCTTAGTCTGGCTGCCACCCACTATAACCCTGGACGTTGTCAGTTATACGTTGATGGTTGATGGCATCAATATCTTATTTATAGGACCATTGGTCCATTGGATCATTGGACCATTGTGGCTTCGAATTCTTCTCAAGCACCCCTCTCACTGTGAATCTCTTCCATTATCAACTTCAATATATCGACCGAGATGGCCGAACCACGTCTCCGCTTAGACACTCCCACTTCGCATGTTATCTTCATCCACCCGGATCGGGGATCCTATACTCTGCCTCTGTCTGGGTTGCTCTGGATCTCACCTGATTCTGTCACGAAGGACATCCAAGCCCCTTCCGAGATCACTATCAGTCTTCTACGAATAGTGGCAATTGAGGCCAAGGGGTCAGCTCGCAGAATCACAGGGGATCACCGGCGATATTCTCTCCCATTTAAGCGTCGGATGATATCACCAAGAACAGCTCCGACGACAGCTCAGACATACTGCGAGACCGTGCTCAAGTGTAACCTCTGGTCCTCGCCGAATGTGCTCGCCACATCTCAGAGCGCAAGTACAGATACTAGTTTCAAGTGTCTCCAGTTCCCCTTTTGTGTACCAGTGCCGGATAGCCTTCCTGCTACGACTACCACAGCCCTGGGAACCATCAGCTACGCGATGAAGGCCACGGTAACTCTGGCCTCCGGGGAGTCAGAAACTCTATACAGACCGTTAGGGATCTTCTATCGCCTCGTACAAAGCGCATATCTCACAACCAAACACATTCGGAGGTTTCCCCAGTCTCCACTAACATTCGACATCAGCATCACACAACGACAACCCAGTCACAACACACCTAGGGCTCAGTTCTCCGTGTCGCTGCTGGTCCGGAATCTCTATGCGCTCGGAGACCGAGCGGGAGAAGCGACATATGTGATAGTCAACGCAGTTAAGTGGGAAGTGGGAGAAGAAGCTGTCCTTACAGAGATCTCCAACGGCGACGGGCAGACAAGCCTCAGTCCTGGTCAGAGGTCGACGCGTGCCCTAAGTTACGGAGAGGTCAAGATCCCGTTGTCAACCAGCAACCACCGACAGTCAAATTCACCGGGTCAGACGGATGATCGGGCTCATATCCAATTCGACATTACGATACCACCAGCCATCAATGCTGTGGATGACCTGGACCAAGAGTCCCATTGTCCGAGTCGTGGATGGCTTCATCCGAGTGAGGTCTCCAAGACCCCAGCCATCACCGTCGACCATCACCTCAAGATTGAAGTTATCACGGGCGAGGATATTGTCAATGACCGAACTAATCGTGTATTGGATCGAAGGACTTCGGTCAGGTCCTACGGGGCGATCTTTCCACTCCGTATCCATCAGCTAGCTAGCAGCAGTGACAAGTTGCACAGCGACCGGTTCGGCGATGAGCTCCCAGCATTCGAAGTGGCTCAATCGCTTTCGCCGCCCAGCTATGAGGCAGGGTTACAGGCGGCCTTGTAAAGACTCTGGTGGGGGGACGAGTACTAATTCTAGCAGGCATTGGTCGATCTCATAGTCATACACTTGAATACATAACGCTTCCTCCACTCCTCCGCTGCCAATCAGACAATCCAGCACAGTCCATCCGTGGATAATGCCTGCTTATATAAGCTATGCCACTATTAAGTTATGCACGGTCTTAGCACGCCGGACTATGAGGTGGGGGATGCCAGGTGGTGATGCAGCAAGCCCCCCAAATAGGCATTTAGTCCGTACGAATGACTCCACCGAGCTTGCTGCCTGGCAGTGCCTGCAGAATCCCGCAGAATCACCCAATGTGACAGTCGGAGATGCTTGCAGAAAACGGTCTACCGTCCCCGTGGGCAATTTATGCGGCAGAGCCGGCACGGAGGATGAAGCACGGCGAAACCAACGCTTTCCCCACGTGCTTGGCCGATCAGGTACCCTAATCAATCCCCTCATCAATACCATCCCAACTCCAGCCCCAAACAGAGGCTCGGACCGAGGCACGTTCGGCCGTAACCTTGAGTCTGCATCAAACAAGAATCATGCAAGCTGGAATCTGCAAGGTCCAGCATGCACTTGGGGGAACTGGCCCGGGCCACTCACGACGGCGGGATTACGCCTGCTCGCGACTATAAATTCGAGCATATCAGGACAAACAACAGGACCACAAGCATCAGACGCAAGTGACAACAACTACTATGATGCACCAGTCCAATCTGCTCAAGGGACTCCCCTTGTTGGCGGTGGCAGCCCTGGCCGTGGACTATCCTACTCTGCCTAATGACCTGACCACCCCGTACCAGCAGCGACTGGCTATCATGGGGCCCACATGTGAGCACCTCCTCTCCCAACCATAAACCGACAGTATCTAATCAACCCCTCTATCTAGCGGTCTCAATTGGATGGAACACCTATGAGAAGCTGAACTCGAGCTGTGTCGAATACGGCACCTCCAGCAGTGACTTGAGCCAGCAGGCCTGCTCGACCAAGTCGACGACCTATTCCACCTCGCGCACTTACTCCAATGCTGTAACTCTGACGGGCCTTACGCCGGCCACCACCTACTACTACAAGATTGTGTCTGGCAATTCCACGGTGGAGCAGTTCCTCAGCCCCCGGACCCCTGGGGACAAAACCCCCTTCAATTTCGATGTCGTGATCGACCTGGGAGTATACGGGGCTGATGGCTACACCATCTCCAGCGACTCCTCCACGAGCAAGCGAGAGACGCCGTACGTCGAGCCCGACCTCAACCACACCACCATCAAACGATTGGCCGACACATTCGACGACTACGAGCTCGTCATTCACCCCGGCGACTTTGCCTACGCCGACGACTGGTATCTGAAGCTGAAGAACCTGCTGGACGGCAAGGACGCCTATCAAGCCATTCTGGAGCAGTTCTACGACCAGCTCGCTCCGATTGCCGCCGGCAAGCCCTACATGGTCAGTCCGGGGAACCACGAAGCCGACTGCGATGAGCTGTCGTTGCTCATCGATCTCTGCCCGGAGGGGCAACGCAACTTCACCGACTTCATGCACCGGTTTGACGAGACGATGCCGTCGGCCTTCGCCTCGTCCTCCACCAACACGACCGTACAAACCCTGGCTGCGACCGCGCGCACGCTCTCCAACCCCCCGTTCTGGTATTCGTTCGAGTACGGCATGGTGCACTTCACCATGATCGATACCGAGACCGACTTCACCGACGCCCCGGATGGCCCGGATGGCTCTGCCGGGCTGGATGGCGGCCCCTTCGGCCAAGCCCAACAGCAGCTGGAGTTTCTGGAAGCGGACCTGGCCAGTGTCGACCGCAGCGTGACCCCGTGGGTGATCGTGGCGGGTCACCGACCGTGGTATTCCACGGGCGGCTCGAGCAACATCTGCGACGCGTGCCAGGAGGCCTTCGAGGAGCTCCTGTACAAGTACGGGGTGGATCTGGGGGTGTTCGGCCACGTGCACAACTCGCAGCGCTTCCAGCCCGTCTACAACGGCACCGCGGATGTCAATGGGCTGAATGACCCGGCGGCGCCCATGTACATCGTCGCCGGTGGAGCGGGCAATATCGAGGGCTTGAGCTCGGTCGGATCCGAGCCCTCGTATACGGCGTTTGTCTACGCCGATGACTACAGTTACAGCACCGTGCGGGTGCTGAACGAGACGCATCTGCAGGTGGACTTCATTCGATCGGAGACGGGCGCAGTTCTGGACTCAAGTGTGTTGTACAAGAGTCATACGGAGCAGTTTGTGGTGCAGTAGAGGAGTTTGATAGGGGTTGGTGTTTCCCTGGACCTGGCATACAAGTGGTATTGGCATTTAGAGATAATGAATCGAAACACGCTGCTGTACAGACTGTGAAGCTAAAAGGAATGCGAGCCCCCACCCGTTAGACCATCCATCATTTTCATCTCCTCCTTATCCTAGAGGTAGCGGATCTGCCGGAAGGACCGCAGCATCATATACACTCCATGCAGGGTGGCGAAGATGCCCGCCCCTGCAACGCCCCAGGCCGCGGCTTGCACCCGCAGCGAACTAAGCGGGATGTGACCGGGTTCGAAGCTGTCCCGGCGATAGGTATCCGAGCGTACGATGTGTCTTCGACGCTGGGAGGGGTCTATTACCTTCACTCAGTGACGAGGTTCTTGGTTGTCTCTTGTTGTATCTCAAGCAACCCTACCCGCTGACTGGATGCGTTGGCCGAGATTGGACACAGCTGGCCTTGAGCGACTGATAAACGCTTGGTACATGGTTGAGTTTGGTTTTGAGGCGTGCTTTGAGGTGTGGTGAAAGTGGAATTGGGACGTCTAGCATCAGCGAGATTGAAAAAAAAGGTGGAGAAGGGTCGATTTATCTGGAGGCAGGGCAGTGGCGACAATGACGCGGAGAAGCTGGAGAAGACTCTCGCAAAACCATGGATCACAACCGAGCCCGCTCGTGACGCAACAATAATTGCCCCAAGCTGTCAATGAACTCCTGCTGATGTGTAATATAGCCTAAATGACCTCCAGGCATGTCAACCACGGGCAGATTCAGTCGGTCGGACAAGACACAGATCGGTTGCGCGGTCAAAACCGGGGATTCTTCTGCCCCGCGCATGAGCACCAGCTTGCCCCGATGGCCCAGGAGAACCTCCGGCTCGAAGGTGGTGAACTGCCGCCACTCAGCCATCTCAACTCCAAAGTACCAGTCTTGGTTGCTGGGGGGGATGGACATCAGCTGTTTGAACACTGGCGAGGCAACGAACAGCTCTCGATCGCGTTGACTACTCGTGATGGCAGTCAGGATCGCATTGGCCGCCGGCACTCCACGCTGGCGGAACGCAGCAATGATTTGATCGATATCCTCACTGAATCCTTGTAGGGTCGTCGGCGTGAACAGGTTTCCCAAGACGGGCTCGTGAACAATGACCTTGCGTACCAGCTGTGGATGGGCGTTGAGCAGATTCATGGCAATGTTGGCTGCCCAAGAGGATCCGAAAACAATGGCCGGCGCACTGGGTGAGAGGTGTTGAATCAGGGCGGCAGCATCCTCGACATTCGCCTTCAACAGTCTGGATGCGTCGAAGCTGGGCGCATCTCTGATAGGACTCCGCCAAAATCCTCGTCGGTCGTATGTCACTACTCGAAAGTGGGACGACAGGAGAGATGCAAAAGATGCGAAGAAGGCTGCGGTGCCGTTGCCCCCGGCCATGATCAGGAGAAGGGGGCCTTGGCCACGCACTTCATAGTACACCTTGGCATCGGGAACCTCCAGGTGGGAGCATTGTACCTCGGAGGACACTGGAGGCTGCATTGTGAGCGCGATGAGAGAACAAATGGACACCAACGGTGCAGGCAGCTCATCGCGCTATATAGTCCTCGACAGGTTATGTAGAAGCCCTAACAGCCGTCCGCCCTCCTCCCTCCTTCCTTCCGACCTGTCAAACAGACCGGCTCGACCAGACCCCCTAAGAAGTCCATGGCAGCCCAAAGTGGGTTTGGAAGAGACAAGCGATCGGTTGCGACTGGCTGTGACTGCAACTGCAAGGCAGAGGCGCTTGAGTTCGCAGCTGAGAAGAGGGGAATCCCGCATGGTCTGGGCCAAAGCGGGCTCGGCAATCGTTGCCTTGGGATCTGGGGCTGCATCGTGGCAGCTTGGCAACGAACCATTCGCTTCGCTTGTTCTTTGTCGCTTGGAGGGCTGCCAGTGCAGACGCTAAGCTGCAGTTTTTTTTGAAGCTATAAATCACTAGTTTGGTGGATGGTGGCGTCAACAGCAAACGTCCGGTATGCGGTTTCCCCGGCCGGTGTGCGCCCTGTGTTCTCCCTGCTACCGAAACGGAATCATTCGTATTGTATAAACTAAGTCACTTTCATGCTCTTTCGACTCGGAGGATCCGAGCGTTCTGTGACACTCAGGAGACTATCCAATAACGAAACTTTCCGGGTTTACTTCCCTCGGGCATCCCACCTTAAGAGATGTCAGCCGCACCAGAAGCCTCCATCAAGACATGAAGATGACATGACTGGGATATTCATTCCGGTGAAAGAGACAACAACAGTGATATTCTTTATTCCTGAATCTGACATCTCGGAGTCATATGAATACGAAGCAGAGGGCGCCTGCTGACGGGTGCGATAGATACTTAATGTTGTTGTCGACCAGAATTTGAAGTCTGAGATGCTCGATGTGGTTGTGACACCATTGAAATCCACTTGTCAGCATATCGACTGCGATGCTTGAGGAGAAGATACTTGTTGCTGACGACTTGTCCAGGGCTACCATCGATCTGTTGCCCAAAACTCGCAATGATCTTTCTATCCACTTCGAGTCCTTCTATGGGGTGAAGCCTCGTCATGTCTCTCCTCTATTCAAGATCAGTCTTTCAGATCTCAGCTATCAACCCAAGGTGAGAAGCTTACGTCTATGTTTGACAAGCCAAATGACGCTCATGCTTTTCACTTTCCACTTTCTAGGTCGAGAGACCTACTGCGGACTGGGCAGTGACGGCAGCATTCCAGGCCTTCCGGTCTTTCCAACTCGCGGGCTACAGCCCCGTTCGTCGCTTCGCCACGATTGGGACTGGATCCGGAACCGATGCTGTGGGCGCCCTCGAGGTCTTCTTCCCTGAGCTGGTCAGCATCACCATGACCGACCTATCGCCCGAGGTGGCTGCAACCGCCAAATTGAATCTGATCTCCGCGGTTCATGACTCCCGGAAGACGATTCAAGCGGTGGCTCTCGAGGCTACTTCCTTGACGGGGTATGGTTTAGAACCATTGAAGGGACAGCAGGTCTTCGACCTGATCGATGAGTGTGTTCACCTCCTTTCATACACTCCTTCGTGACCTACAACCTAACGCATGCCCCGAGGAACTTACCCAACATTCCCCTCCCAGAGGGAGCCACTCTACTGGAGGATCAGACCTCGTCGACGTACTTCTCTGGCGCCGATGTACCCTATCAGATCCCTCCCTTCGTCTCCTCCGCGCTTCTCGACCTGCACTACACCAGCCTCGTTCAGGCTCGCGCGTTCAGCCTCCTCAGCGCGTCTGGAGTCATCCTGTCCAGTATTGGCGGACGTGTTCCGATCGCAACGATCCTCTCTCTCGCCGACACCGCCGGCTTTGCAGGACGGATCCTCTCCATGAGTTGGAAAGTGCAGAGTGAGCCTGAGTCGGTGATCGGTGGTTATGCAACTCAACAGCAGCAGGGATTGGGTCCGGTGGGCTCCGAGTCTTTTAATTGTACTCTGTTTACAGGGCTGGTGAGACGCATGCTGACACACAGGATGTGGCTTTCCGGAGCAGTTCTACTTCTATCGCACCACCACTCTCCGACGCACCTTTCACGGTCGGACTCCGGCGGGCGCTGCTCTCCGGGCGCTACAGATTGAGCGGGAGTTACTCTCAGAGCGGATTGATGCGATCGCAGCCTTGGAGTTGCACCAGGAGGGGGTAGAGTTGGGTCATCCGGTGGTGGTCATGGCGAGCGTTCTGAAATGAGCGTTCGTCAGCTGAGGACTGCAACTATCGCAAGGGGGCTTGTAGTCAATCGGTAGTGTTCTTGTTTATTTTAGTGAAAGAGATGAATGGATACTGCTCAATATTTTCTGTGCTGCTTGGTGTTTGTTGTTATTGTTCGGGCTGATCCTCAGCAAGATATATACGTCGGACAGCATGCGATAATTCCACTATCCGATGGGACAATATTTGACCACAAGCCAGAAGTTACATGGCAAGGTTACTTGCAAGGCTTTAGAGAGGGAGATACCCATTTCTTATTGAAAAGGGTAAAAAAAGGAGACTAGGAGGGGAGAACAGACTGAGGTTTGAGAAGCAAAAAGAATGACCTACGCAGGGCTCGAACCTGCAATCTCTTGATTCGTAGTCAAGCGCCTTACCATTGGGCCAGCAGGCCAGCTGTTCATGTTTGGCTATTTTTAATGGTTGATGATCCATTTCAATACTCGAATGCTTCAATGTCTCGCATATCTTCAACTCTCGAACACTGCAAGACCAGAAAACTACTTGAAATAAGCCAACGGATAGACCACTATGATAGACCACCAGTGTGAGCCAACGACCTAATGCATTCTCCCTCCGGTTTGAAACCTTGCCCTCTCAGCTCGCCTCCTGTTATCGGCCGTCTTCGGGTTCTCTTAGCCCAGATTGCTGAATGAAGGTGATTACACAGTCAAAGCCCATCATCATCCCTGTAAGTACTGGCCCAGCGCTATGGAAAACAGTCAGTGCACGACAGAAAGGAATCCAAGGGCCGGGCTGACCGTATCCCAGTCTCCACGCCCATCAACGAACCGCAAGTCCGTCCCGAGCCGAATGACACCGTTCTCGTCGTGGTTCACGGTCGAGGCATGAATCTTAGTGGGTCAATCAGCGAACATCCTCCATCGTCACAGTAGCCTTCATACCATGTAGGAGTCATGGAAGACCACATCCCCGGCCTCATATGCTGAAACAAGCCACTGGCGTTGGTGCTCCTCACCAAAATGCTTCGGATCCTGACTGAGCATGCCATTGGACATCATATTCTGGTTGAACGCGGTCTTGGCCTCCTCTTCCGAGAGCCCTGCCGCTTGGGCCTTGTTAGTTCGGTGGCCCTACCTAGGACACGGCCTGGTCGTGTTAGCCCAAAGCGATCGATAGCCAGCTCCAGCAACTACAGACCATTTTCAAGGTAGATCAACCCGCCCCCGTTGAGGGCGATGTCCCCGACCGGAACCCACGCTGTCAAGACCGAGTCTTGCCCATGCCGCAAGAAGATATAGTCGTAGTGTACCCCAGTGGCTAGATTTCCAGGGAGATTATTCCGCAGGATAGTCCTTTCCAAAGCCCATGTGCTCTTGCCCCAGCCGGTGAATTCCTCGACGAAGGCGATGAGAGCCGGATGTTTGCAGAGATCATTGCGATACCAGTCTTCAGCATGGGCACGAAGGGCTAGCGTCATGAAGGTCTTGGATGTGGTGGTTCCGGTGCCGTGGCGACCGGTTCCAAAGCCGGGAAAGTCGGTGGCGTCCCGAGAGCGATCGAAGATCCCCTCGATTGGGGAGGTTCGGGGATCCAGAATCCCGGTCGGCGCAAGCAACTCGAAGTATTTCCTCCTTGCCTCAAGGACATCGGCGCGAGGCAGAAGGCCTTTCAGGTAGAGATACCCGTCTCGTTCCCATCGATGCCGCATCTCAGCCATGGGAGTTGTACGCGGACAGGTTGCCTCAAGCCGACCCGTGCTTTGAGGGTTTAGTTGGCCATCGTTGACGTATAGGTCGGGGAAGTCGGTCTCGGGATGGGACATGATGAGGATTCAGAGCGTCTGAGTTGCCAGGGTGAGAGGTGAATTGAGAAAGAGAGTTGATGTTGCTGGGCCATCCATAATATACCTAGTGGTGCATTGCATAGGGCAACCCGGGGGAAAATTACCCAGAATGGCATTTCATCCCTGGTAGTACTTCGGTTACAATACATAAGCTGCGCCCGGACCGAAATTTCCCTCTGGGGTATAAATCGTCCGACTCCATGTATCATTCACGGTTGCCTTCGAGACCCCAGAAAGCTCGGAGGCGATGGCTCACTTTCAAGCATGGCCACCCCACATGCAGCTCGGCTTCAGCGACCAGATGCATCAGCTCTCGAGTCTCCTCGGGATCGTCAAACAGCTCACCACCCACTGCGATTGCCAGACCCGCGGTTAGCCTGGCGGGCATATATTCCGCATCCGACATGGCTATCCCACAAATGATACGAACCGCGTTACGCATTTCTTCCTCCTGCTTCTGCAGATACCGAGCGCGCCCCATGCCTAAGCTGGGCAGGCGGGGGTCATGCGCCAATAATAAAATGCGAGACAGTTGGAGATATTGCTGGCCTGCAATCGGGCAGTCGGAGGTGTAGTAGATCACCGGGAGTATACTGTCCCTGTCCGCGCTGGCGGATGGTGCATCTTCCGGAGTCTCCGGGCGAAAGCGAAAGGTCCACAATTGTGTCCGATGTGAATAGTGTATCGGCTGAAACGCGTCTGGCTTGTGCTGTTCCCAGTCTAGGACATACTGCCACAGTCGATCCCACTCCAACTTGTCTTTGGGTCCGTTACCGTAGACAAAGGTGGTGACCCGTGCTGCGTGTGCAATCATGCGATATGTCCACGTAGCATCCTCAGCGGGGCGCCAGTGACCAATTCACATTGCAGGAGGCAAGGCTGGGGTCAACGGCTCGTTTCACCATGTTTCCAATGAAGATCTCTTGTCGTAAAGCCACAATCATGGCTGCATCACTGAATCCAGATGGCTGGACGTTGCCACCCTTGATCTGGAGCAAAATCGAGGTAGAAACCGCATGCGATGTGAAGACTTGTTCTTCGGTTGGCTCTTATGCTAAAGTCAGCAGTTGGGCTCGTGCTTTGGTTTAGATCCCATACGCACCGGACATCTCTTCGAGTAATCTTAACAGCATGGCGGAAGCCAGCACGCTATCGTCCAAAACCTTGGACGTATCATTGAGACTCGGGATCAGGACTTCGAGGCATCGCCCCTCATATCCATGCGAGTCACAGGAGCTGATCCCCATCGTCAACTCTCGATGTCGGGCAGATATTGCTAAAACGGCAAATAGGATGGACGGGTCTTTGGTAACGGTGGCCCCCACAACGGTTTGGAAGTGCCTGTCAGGAATGCAATAGTCGAACTACGCTCGGCCAATGTCATTACTGTAGTTCACATACGTGCGATTGGGCACTTGGCTTACCCACAACACTAAATTGGCGAAGAAATACTTCACCAGCTGGGCCTCTTCCCTGGAAAGTGGCCAGAACTGCGGCGAGGCGGTCGACGCAGGGGTTGAGACTGACGGGTCAGGGTCATGGTCGGACGGAACTGCTGATCCTTGATTCTGCGATGCAAGCGGTCGCTTCAGAGAACGCTCCTTAGGACACCGAGTCGGTGGGATTGCGGAGCTTCTGTTGCCAGAGTCAACCTCATCCATGTCCACCAGTTCCGACGGAGTGGCTGATGGGATCCCTTTAAGTCTCGCGTTCGTCCGCCCTGGAGCAAACCTGCGGCGTTTGCGCTTCGTCGATGGTATATCCACCAATCTAATGCGGAGGTCGGGCTGACGACCCTGGCTGCAAAGCAGACCCGCTCGCTCGCAAGGGGAGCAAGTGTCGCGATTGACTGCAAGATCACCTACATCACAACTGAGTACATCGACCTCTATGGTCAAGAGTGATTTCATTCAGGCTCACATTTTTGGTGTTTATTGCGGCATCGCTCACTGGCAGTACGGTGGAATATCTGGCCTTAGCTCACATTGTGTGCAAACCCTCCAGAGGCATAGATAGCCATACCATGCAGGAAGCGAGCGTCCACCACGAGGGGAATTTCTGCAGAGTGCCCGACTGTGAGTTGTGTTGCCGTCTACGTTCAAGCTGTCGCTGGCCGATAGCATAGCGAAGCAGCCTGAGTTGGAGAGATGAGAGTACTGTAGTTGACTTAGTTATTGTACAGTACCGAGTTGGATGATGGCCAGAACCGAGCGGGCATTGAGGCATTATTGGGGCTGAAAAGACGGGCAGAACCGAGCGGAGAGGAAGGCGGTGGCCCTTCCTCCGGGTGCACTGTTTATCCGTCCCGAGGTCTTTTCGGGCCGGTTCAGCAGTAAGTTAAACTCTTTGACATAATAATAATAATGCAGACAGACCTCGACCTGATCTTGACAAAAGTACTGACCCTTTTTTTACACTAGCTTATAGCTATTCGCTCACACTGGGAGTGAGGAGCCTCCGAAGAATGCCCGAAGTTTGGCAATCATCGGCTGGATTGAGTATCTCAAACGAACCGTGCCGCAGCGGAAGGGCGGAACCGTTGATTCAATGAATCAATTTAGGTTCGACCGGTACAGTCCAGGATGAGACATCGGGTGGATTGACGCCTTGGTTTACGTCTGCATGGCCCTGATCTCGGAGTATGGATGTAATTATACATATGTGTACAGTACATGCACAGAACAGTACATGCACAGAGAATTATGCTCGAGCACGTGCATGAGGGCTTGAGGCATGAACGATGAGCGGCTGTCTACCCAAAATAGACCCATGATGATCCTATGGGGCCGCTGTCGATGGCGAGGCAGCAATGGACAGATGATGACCAAGCTCTATGTTTGAGGGCCACCAAGATGTTATAGATGAGGCTGGAGTAGTGATCATACTGCACCCTACGCCTAGCTGATAGCAGCTTCCGGTACTCTGCATGGTCTTGGTCAAGGTCATCAAGCCGTTTTGCTTTTAGCTGTAGAGCCAGCCGTTTTTGCTCGACGGCAAGATCTTCGTTCTTGATCTATGCGATCACACGGTGCTTATTTTTATCTCGACATCCCTGCTGTTGATATCATCAATATCTTCACCTTAAGCTAGTAAATCCTTCAGGCTCGAACAGGGAGCAAGTAGTCAACGCACGAGCATGGCCGAAGTTGTTCCACGCCAAGTGTGGAAGATAGATTAACTCGAGATTAAACCCACTGCAACGTGCCGTAGCGTGTGCAGATCAGGCGCAAACCCAGGCGCAAACCCAGGACTTAGCTGTCACGTACTGAGGTCAGACTCGGTTCTAGTTCCAGCCTGCTACCATGCGCGGAAGGTGTCGGGCATCAGCTAAAAATCTTAGTCCAGGAGCTGGACTAGGTCAACCCTGGCCATTGAGCTCCTGGTGACTGGATTTGTATTTTCAGTTCTTCCTCACTTTCTTTGAAGATTCAAAGCATGCTCATCGAGCTATCGAAAGCAAATGGTGGTACCCAACCATGGCCCTCAATGAGACTGGAGTGATCGCACCGCCTGCCGGGGTCACGCCAGACTTTGCGCACCCTACACGACATCTGCACACGGCGAATCGCGTGGTCGTCATTGTAGGAACGACTGCCAGTGCCATCTCTCTATTGGTGCGCATCTACAGCAGGCTGGTGGTGGTGAGGAAATGGATGCTGGATGACAGTAAGTGGCATGGGTGCGTCGGGTAAACACGTCTAACCAACTGGCCATTAGCTGTTCTCGTGCTTTCATGGGTGAGTGTCGGTAACTAGACGACTGGCATCATCGGCTGATTTGGAACGCTCATGGTGCAGATGTTCGCAGCCATCACACAATCCGTCTTACTTTGTGAGGTGTTCCGAAGTGTCTGCTCGCTTCCCGGAGATGAATCGCTAACAATACACCGGGATTTTCAGACGGATACACACACGCTGGGCTTGGGATCCATCAATGGGAGCTCACAGAAGAAGACTACAACAAGTCACTGAAGGTACGGAGTTCCAGTCGTGCCTGGTTCGTCTAGCACTGTTGATTGATGGCCAAGCAGGTTCTCATGGCTGGCGCAGTCATGTACATCCCAGCCCTTGGACTCTCCAAGATCGGCCTCATCATTCTCTATTATCGCCTATCCGATATGCAGCGCAGCTGGCGAATTATCCTGTGGAGTTTCACGATATTTGTCATATCCTACATGGTCATTCTCGAATGCTTGTTCCTCTTCGGCTGCAACCCGATCCAGAAGGCCTGGGACGTAGCCATTGAGGGGCAGTGCATCAGCCGGGCCTCGATTTTCTTGGCCGGCACGTGCGCCAGTATCTTCATCGACATTGTCTTAGTGATCACGCCTCTCCCGGTGGTGGTGGGGCTCAACATGGCGCCCAAGAAGCGCGTCGGGGTGGCCTGCATGTTCGGGCTTGGCGGACTGTATGCTTCATCCTTCCTCGTCTTTCGTCTGTCGCACTGCAGCGACTAACCAATTCATGATTGTGGGTAGGCCCCTGATTACCAGTTGTATGCGATTGGCGTCGGTCGTCCCAATGCTGCATACCAACGACGAATCCTATCGACTCGGGGCTATGGTGTTGTGGATGTAGGTGATGATGAATTCGCGTGGTGATGGCAGGGTGCTGACCGTCCTACAGCAACGTTGAAGCCAGTCTGATTATTGTCACGGCTTGCGTACCGTCCTTCCGCCAGGTGTTTTTCTCTGGCTCGTGGGGCAGCAGTGGCAGTCAGGAAAGGGCCTTGAGTAGTTATAGCCTGCGCAGCGGGCAGCGACGACATCGCGGTTTCACCAATATTACACTAGACCTTGACCCCGATCGACCGGAATCTGTCGAGCGGGTTGTGCCTGATAAAGCTTCTCATTAAGCTTAGGATCATCTTCGTCCATTTGAGATGGGTTTCGAGTCAGGAGTTCATTGGGTCAACAAAGTTTGGGTTTTGGCATATGCATTTAGTTTGAGCCAACTATAGAGACGGCGTGGTCAGTGCACACAGGTTCTTCGGATTGACTTGATGGTAGCATAGATGTATTCATAAAATGTATTGATTTTCCCCCCTCTACAGCTTGACAAACTGACTCTTCTCTGCCATCTTCCCGCGAGCCCGGTCACCGAAACCGCTTGCATAACATTGAAGATGAAGCAATCCGCCTGCACCGTCGCAACCGACTAATTGTGTAATTCCTCCGCTACTAAGGAATCGACGCAGAACTGCGTGAGAGGCAAGGAGGGATTAATCCCCTCCCGGGTGCGACTGAATATTTCGGCTAATTTCGTGACCAAGGCGTTTTCGATAACTAGGGTTGCTTTAATTAAAGCGGTAGCGGCAGTCAACTGGTCTCTCAGACCGGCTTCCGGTGAGGAATAAGATGCAGGACTAGAAGAAGAGGGGGTTTGCTGCTTAAGAATGGCGAATCTGGTATCGCGGTTCCAGCCCGCATCCAGCCTCCGACCGGATAAAACCCCTTGGTAGCCCGGTGATAATGTGATAAGTCTCTGGGGTTTGGATGGGATGGCGGATGGTGGAAGCGACCCAAGGCCCACACCTTCTGTTCAGACACGGCGCGTAGTCCGAGCTTCTCGAGATGATGCGTAAGGGGTTTCGATTCTGCGACGACACCGACGGATGAGACTATTCTTAAGTCTATGGAGACGGCGGGGAGACTCTGATTTATGCAGTGGCGGACCAGTACGTTCTGATAACTACCCCCAGCAGCGTAGTTAGTCTGGCCTGCGTTGCTATCGAACCTACTGATGGAGGAGAGAAGAATAAAGAAGTAAAGGTCGGAGGGAAGAAGGGTATGCAAATTCCACAATCCTTGGACTTTGGGCTTAATGGCGGCGAGGTAGTCTTTCACGGGTCATGGTCTCGAAGTTTCCATCCTAGAGTTGATAAGTAGGATTAGTACTGATTTTTGTGATCTGTTGCTGTTGACGGATCGATCTATATACGTACCATCAGCACCATGGCGGGTTGAATGACGCCACGAATGGGCGGTAAGTGGAAGGCATGTTGCTGTAGAACCGACTACAGCTGAGTCGCGTTAGTGATTTCACAGCTGGCCAGCACACTTGTGGCCCCAGTGGTCTGTCGTAGACGTGCAAGCCGTGGAGGAGTTCCTGTTGTGGTGGAGGTAGTAGGAGTAGAAGCAGAAGCAGCCGATCGAGAGAGGAGGAGGAGGTGGCGGACACCGCCTTCCACCATTAGTCGCTGGGCGAGATACTGCCAGATGCCCCATACACCGCCTAGAATTAGATAAGTATCCTCACGTGATAGCATCACCACCGGTCCCACCGCCCGCTGCAGCTTCACCTTCACCTTCACCTCTTCTTTCACCTCCACCACAAGCTTCCCCGCGTGTTGCCCGGTCTGCATCGTGCGAAATGCCTTATCAATGTCACCCATGCCGACCCGCGTGACCGGCGGTCGAATCTCCCGTTTCTCCATTAATCCATTGATCGCTCCCAAGATCCGATACACCTCCTTACCTCTCCGTTCCCCGAGCGCGATCGGATCCAGCAACGCGAACATAGTACTCCGCCCCAACAGTCCCATCTCCACTATACTGTTCTATTCGATATCTTGCTTACCGATTTCGAAAATCCTTCCAAAACATCCCCACGCACTGCTATATTTCGCGCAACAAAGCGCCCGCAAGCGAATTGAGTACTATATCCACTCTCTTTTTCTTAATCGCCGATATAAAATAGCTTGCAAAGAAACAGTTGCGATTACTGAAAATATACGACAGGCAGATTTTATATTTTCTACTAAAAAATCGCATTTGTATTCTAATTCGACTATTACAAAAATCTCTATCCCGATCCACCGCGCGATTATAATAGCGGCTTGGCCGACACCCCCCGTGCCGGAGTAAATAAGCACTCGTTTATTATATTAAAGATATATTAGATTTACCAGAGTATAATAGACGATAATAAATATAAAAAAAATAGAGACTGCTGTGAGGAAGTCTATTTCTGCGGACATCTGGACCATATTAGTAAAAAAAATACATATTCTAATTGTAAAATAGCCGAAAATAAAAGTATACACCCGCTGTCCAGCAGTAAAGCCAGCGGCGCGTACGACCGGTCCGGTACGGGTGATTACTCCGCTGTATTCAAAGCCCATCCGCATTTCGTCGAGCTGACCCAGCGCAACTATAATAGTCCGAAAATTAAGTCCGAAAGCGCATGGCTCGATCTCTATACAGTCGTCGGTAAGAGTCTCATCAATATTGGGATCTTCCGTAAATATAAGACTGTTGAGCAGACCCGGGGGTGGCAATTTCCAGCCGAATATTCTGGCCAGGGGTCGACCAAAGCCGCATCTCGGGGGCCTGAGGCTGTGTGGTGCTTACCAGCTGGGCCTCCTGTCGGTCTTCGTATATCCGTGAGATATGGATTACGGATCCCGCACAGCGTTTTCGGTTTCTGGCAGAGGAGCCGAGGATGCTGCCAATGTGTTGCGGATAATGTGTGCGATATCAGTCGCAGTTGAGAGAGATCACACGGGGGCATTGGGGTCTAAGTCCACCGAGACGTATCGGTGGAGAGGATTCTCACAGCGCAAATTGCTCCGCAGGAGGGTCATCCAGCATTGGCTGACAAATCTCGTCTAAGATGATACAAGTTTTGCCATCGGCAACAACCTCTTCAAGCGAGGAGACAACGGAGAGGCCGAACACAAATTCAGCAGCTAGCCCGTGCTGAAGTGCTTGCTGCCAGTCTTCCGGCGGGTTTGTTCTAGAAACGAGAAGAACTTCTGTTGGAGTGGCAGATGTCACGTCTGTCTTGGCCGTCGCAACGACTACTTCTTCTTGGTACCTGTCTGCGTTGAGATCTGGCTGAAGGTGGGAGCTGACCGACTCGAAACCGGCCTGCGCACAGAGCTCCTTCCACAGGCCACTGGTAACCCTTGAAGGTGATGCCAATCATTAGATCTGAGAAGCGGTGCATGATGTCGTAGGACCATTCCTCTTATGAGCCAATGGCAGCTGTCGCAAATATCGTAGCCTCCCATGTTCAGTGTGTACGGTCAGGCTGAACAACTAGGCGTCTGGTCTGGTGATGGGGTCTTGTGATGGGCAATTCATTCGAACGGCCATCCTAAAACTCCTGGGTCAGGGTTGGGCGCGTTTGACTGCCTGGCAATCAGTAGTCGAATGAAAGGATGATTCTCAGCCTGTGCTGGCCCTTGATGCATCATATCGGGTGGCTCTGATCAAGTACTTTTGTAGCCGGGCGGGCCGATCACCAACGTTGCGAATGTTGAGCCCGAATCCATGTCTCTTCGGTCGTCTGGTTCTCATCTCTACTTGAGTTCTTGCTGTACCTTGATCCACCAGCAGCCGCAGACGTAACGCAAGTATTCCCCTGTTGCAGAATGGCAAGGAGGATTCAAGCATTGATCCACTGCGTCCGGAGTATCTGAAGCCCCGAGCAAGATTACGCTGGTGTTCATATCTGCCTATGCTACGGAGTCACGCGTCTGCGCCACGAGATCGATCTTGAAACAGAGTGCAGCCAGTGGTAGGACGCTCTTCGAGCTGACGTCTGCATGGTGTTGAGCTGCCATTGTTACAAGACTACCACTGTTGCCTATCCCATCCCCCCCCCACCCGCCTTCGTATGCATGATCTACCACTAGTGGCATACTGGAATGATATCACACTTGAATAGTGGCATTTTCCCGGTCATCCCCATGCAGAACGACAAAATGGTGCTGTATGGTCAAAAGCCAAATTCTATTCTCAATATCTAACATATAGCGCGTTGGTAATTGCTTCTCACCAGATTCAAACGCAAACAATCCCCGTGAACGCACGCCCATCCTCCTGATACAGATTGTCCTTCCGTTTCCCATCCCTATCACAGCGATAGACACCACCCCCGAGGTCCGTCAGAAAGATATCCCCAGTCTTCCGATCGAGACTCACCCCAATCGCCTCATGCAAACCCCGAGCCAGAATCTCCGGCTTGCCCACCGGTCGACCCTTTACATCCAAGCCGACTCGATAGAGTGCATTGCCCTGAGGCAGCTCCCCGCGATCCGTCCAGTACAGCTCGCCTTTCTCCTCATCGATCTCCAGATCAATCGGCTCCGGCAGTCCGCTCAGGATGCACAGTTCCCCGTCCCCGTCCTCGTCCACAACCCCCGGTGGTGCATGGATCGCAGCCGAGAAGATGCGCCCTTTGCCACTCTTGGGCGCGCCCTTCTGTGTCCAGTAGAACCGGTTGAACCGAGTCGAGACGGCGATCCCGACGCACCAGTCCTCTACGTCAGTCACCCCCTCGCCCTGGCGCCCTCGCTGTCGTGAGACAAGAGTCTCCAGATCCGACCCGTCAAGGTTGCAGCGGTAGACTGCGCAGCCTTCGCGGTCGGAGAAGTACAGCTTCCGCGCTGTCTGGTCGAGAGTCAGCTGCTTGGGGGTGTTGATCGCGCCCGGTTCGAGGACGGTCTGGATGTCGCTCCCGTCTAGAGCTGAGGAGTAGACTGCACCATCCTGTCGGCCGGGGACCCCCATGTTGGTCCAGAAGATGCGGTTGGTGGTGGTATCGACTGCGATGCCGTCAGGAAGGAGCTGGTTAATGACCAACACTTTGGGGTCGGTCCCGTCTGCCGCGAGAGAGAGGATTTGGCCGACTGGGGTGGAGATCGAGGAGGCCGCTGTGGAAGAGGCGAGTCCGACGTCGAGGACGAGGAGACGGCGGTCGTGGGTGTTGCTGGGGTCACTGCTACTGTTGCTGGCTGCGCTAGACAGGGGATAGAGCCCGCCCAAGGCGCATTTGGCGCCCAATCTACCTTTCTCGAGGTAATTGGTGGTGAGGTAGTCTACGGTCCTTTCGGAGGAAAGGCCCCGTTCGTGGATGTAGTGCTGCTCAATGAAGGCGACGGTGTCGAGGCCAACGTCTGTTCCACCATGCAGACTTAGTATGACGAGACAGAGATGCAATGAAGGGCATCCAACTCACTATCCATCATCCTGCACGGCAGCGTCCTTCCCCGAATAAACATCTCCTCCCACATAGCATCAATTTCTTCGGGGACGGACACCCCCTCCGAGAGAATGGTCAGCACCTCTCGTTTGACCGCCGCCCAGAGCCGATTGAAGATAAACCCAGTCGATTGTTTGCGTGCGACATACGGCGAGGTCGCGCCTTCGCGGCACCGCTCCACCATGAAGGGGAAGATGTCCTCATGCGTGAAGCCGTCCGTCATCAACTCCACTGTCATGCACTGCGGCGGCATGTAGTAGTGCATGTTCAGGATTCGTGGCTTCACTGCGTCTGGGACTCGGTCTAGCATCTCCGAGGTCTTGTAGGAGGAAGAGTTGGATGCAAGAATGCTATCATTTGGGGCGAGGGCGGATAGATCGGCGAAGGTGGCGATCTTCAGAGGCAGCTTTTCGGGAACGGCCTCAATGACGAGCCAGGCGGATTCCACTGCTTCTTCGAAATTGGTGAAGCTGTGTGCTTGGCCTGGGATGCAGCCCGTTTTGCTGGCGTAGGAGGAGATTTGCTCATGAATGTAGGCGATGCCGGAGGCGAGTTGCTCCGGGCTGGGGTCGCGGAGGTGGACGTCGTAGCCTGCGGAGGCCCAGATGCATCCTATTTGCTACATGTGTCAGCGTATCAATCAGTTGATGGGCCTCGAGAACACTGACCGATTCGCCTTCCAAGGACGCCAGCGCCCAAAACCGCGACGGGGCGGTTCCGGTAGTCGTGCGGTGGTGACCAGCTGGAATGCATTTTGTAGGTGCAAGACGATGTGTTACAGGTTCGGCAGTCAGCAGGAGGAAAGCTTATCTGGCTCGTTGCATACAGACAGGGATCCGAGATTCCAAGGAGCAAATGCTATATATAAGATCTGCTCATATAGTGGGCTGGTGGCATACGAGTAGTAGTTTCCCAGGTATATTCGGGATGCCGGTATCCGGCCTGCCGCGGCATGCCGAGGTGTGGTGCTATGCTTGGATCCACTGCTTGCTTGATCCCGCGGGAGAGCGGTTGCTATACCTCTACTATAGTTATACTCATACTATAGTAAGTCCATAAAGTACAATACACGTATTTGTTGGGACAGACATGAATATACTCCCGCGGGATGTGGTCATGATCCCAACAGTCACCGTGAGCCCCCCACCATCCGTGCCCTCACTTCTTCCAGGATCACCCTCTCATCCTTCTCCTCTACTTCCCACTCTTTCTCAATGATCGTCTTCCTGTCTTCACTTCGCAGGCAGAACTTCGCCCTAACAGCACCCGGATCCGAGTCCCTTGACAAAGGCAACTCCTCATCCCCCTCCCCACCCTCATCTTTTACAATGTCGAACCCCCACAGCAGCCTCGCCACCACTATGAACAACGAGGCCCGCGCCAGTCGGTAGCCCGGACACAACCTCCTCCCAAACCCAAACGCCGAAACCGGCAGCCCAGGATCCTCGACATACCGCTGGGGCTGGAAGGCCTGCGGCTCCTCAAACACCTCCTCATCCATGTTGAACCCCCACTGATTCGCGATGACCGTCGCACCCTTCGGAATCCGGTACCCCAGGTACTCGTCCTCCTGGATGACCGCATGCGGCACTCCAATCGGGGAGATGGGCCGCCAGCGCAGGAGTTCGGAGATGATCGCATCGAGGTAGGGCAGGGCCGGGATGTCGGCAAAGGTGGGGAGCCGTGAGCCGCCGACCACAGCATCGAGCTCGTGCTGCGCCTGTTTGACGGTCTCCGGATAAAGCACGCTGGCAAGGACGAAGTTCTCCAGCACCATCTTGGTGGTGTGGATGCCCGCCACGTACAGCTCGCCCAGCGAGTAGCAGATGTGCTCCCATGGAAGAGAGGCCATGAGGTCGGACTTGGTGGCGATCTCGTGGCTCCAATTCCAGCAGGGAGCACTGAGAGCGCTGTCGGTGCACTCCTGGTAGACGGCTTTGGTCCGCTCGTGCAAGGCACTAGCTTTAGTGCGCCAGGTGAGGAAGCGGCGGGCGGGGATGAGGCAGTCCAGGATGGGGAACAGATCGAGTAGGTTGGTCCAGAAGGCGGCGGCCTGGAGAATGAAGACGGCCATCTCGTTGATCTGTTCCAGGCGCGTGTGGTCGCTGTCGGAGCGGCCCTGGCCCTTGCCGTAGACGAGGGTGAACATGACATTGGCGGTGTATTGGTGGAAAAGGTCGGAGAGCTTGGGGGTTGTGCTGTTGCCGCTGTCTGCGGGTGGGAGGAACGAGTGCATCAGCTGCTTACTTTGGATATCCTGCAGATGCTGGTAAGCGTTGGTGCATTGGTAGTTGAGCAGCGACATGTGCAGCCGACGATTGAGGCGCCATTCGTGTCCGTACGGCATGAAGGCAGCCGCCAGCCCTTTGTGGAGGTATTTGTCCAGCCATACGGACGAGGGCCGCGAGCTGTAAATGCTGGCGCGTTTCTCGAGCAATTCCTGTGCGACCTGGCGAATGCCCAGAATGATGAAGGATCGCGTGCCGATCTTGAAATGCACTACCGGGCCATAGGCCTGTCTCCATGCATGGAAGGTTGGAGCGAGATCTCGTTGCTGGATGAGGGCTGTCAGTCCGGCCACGAGACCCGGACCCGGTGGGAGTGGCAGTGCTCCTGATGGACCGGAGCGGATGAAGCCGCCATGATACAGGCAGAGAGACAGCACCAGTATGAGAAGTGCGAGGAGGACTGGGGTTTCCATTGCTTCACTCCTTGCTTCTTTTCGTGGGCCCTGAGAAATGTCAAAGGGATCGCCCGGGGAATGCGGAGCTTTACTACGGAGTAGGTAGCAACTTTAGCTTTCGATTCCCCACAGAGACTAAGACCTACGTCACCTCCAAAGAGCGATGCTGTATTGAATTGTAGGGGATAGCGTGTACCAATCATCTTGTTACTAAAATGGAGGGTTGGCCATTTAGGAGACTGGGATTAAAATAGTTCAGGTACTAGTGGACGTGGCATGCAGAATCGCCGTCGAAATGCGCTGGCAAACCTTCTTGGTGGCCGATCGACACGCACGATCTCTTCAATGGGTTTAACGTGGGCATTGCCCCGCTGCGGTAAGTCAGATCGTGCGATCGGGCTAAGCTGTGCTCCGTAGTAGGGATCATTTGACGAGCGAGAGAAAGGCCTCTGTGAATGGGGGGTATCTATCATATATGAGTCTGTCTATGTTGTTGTTTTGGTCCTGCCAACTGGAGAAAGAACAGTCCCGTATCCAAACAGTGGGAAGCCAACCAGGCGGGGAAGAAAGCAACAACGCAGCACATGATAAAGATGCAAATGCGCAAGTCTGCGAACTTCTAGGTCCATAGTTGAAACATGGATACGTGTATACGTGTATACGTGTATGCAGGCACTCCTGCGGGACAGAATCCATGGAATCCCTCGGAAGGTCAGCATGCCGTCTGTGTGTGCTGTTGACAATAGTGATGATGGCTTTCGTTGGTCGGGGGCCCACTCCTTTGAAACATGGATTCCACTTTGACGAGGCCAAGCCTTCGCTCACTAACGCAGGTCAGGCAGAGTCAACAACACGACCATGTCATAGAAGTTGCCCCTTGCCTTGCCTTTCAGTCAGGGGCTGATTGATTGACCCGTGGGCGAATGTTGATCAACTATACTGTTTGTACGGTCCACCTCAGGGTACGTATGCGGGTCCCGTGACCTTCTTATGACCGCCAACAAGAAGGCCTGCGACTGTACAGTACATTACTTGCTTCGGGCTTTCCAAATACTACTTGATTGAATGCTCCCAAAACTCTACACAATTTATAACTTTCTATATACGTAACTCTGTACATGTATATGCGGCCTTCAACCAAACTAGTTGCTGGTCTGGGGCGGCCACTTCACTCTTCGCTCCGCCCGCACGTACAGATTATTCGGTCGGATCAGTTGGAACATTGGATCATACTCCACGGGCACGAGATCATTCTCCCGACTGAAATGATAGCGGTAGATCAGCTTTGGGAGGAAAATCTTCACCTCCTGAAGCGCAAAGTTGAAACCAATGCACATGCGGGGACCCATGGCAAAAGGAATGTATGCCGCCTTGTGTCTTTCCTTCACCTGGGGGGTATCCCACCGGTCAGGATCGAACCGGCTGGGATTGTCCCAGAGGTCGGGGTTGTTGTGAATATGGTGCAGACCCGGCACAATGACCGCATCTTTGGGGATCTTATAGCCCCCCGGCAGGATCAAATCGACTTGGGCGGTCCGGCCGGGCTGGAATGACGGATTGGTGAGGCGCATCGTCTCTTTGATGTATTTGTCTTGGAAGACCAAGCGATCCGTAATCTCGGCTGTAAGCTCGGTGTCTTCCGTGATACCGTTGTCGATCAGCTCCTGCAGCAGTCGTTCCTGCATCCCGGGATACGTTACGAGACCATATATCAACCACGACAGCAGGGAGCTCGTGGTCGTGAATCCGGCCGCTGTGGCCACAATCAGCGCCCAAACCAGACTCGATTTCGGCAGCTTTTCCCCCTTGTTGTCGGTCGCACGGATGGCATAGTCTGAAAAGATTATGCATTAGCCTGGTCAGAATGCGGAGGGGTCATGAATGGTAGCGAAGAGATACTCACCGACCATGTTAGAGGCTTGCAATGCCGCCTCCTGTAAAGGCAAGTCTGTGACACCGCCGCGCTCTGCATCCTTGATAGACTGCTCCACCATTGCCTCCAATTTCGCTTTCAGGTTTCTCAACCGCTGGGGGTCCCCGAATGGAAGCTTGCCGTACCAGTCTCCACGAGAGGTGACCTTCTTGTTTAGAGACAGCATTTCCGCAATGGAGTGAACCATGTCGTGCACAGGAGCATCGGGGGAGGTAAAATGCTCCATATCCAGGCCCAGCGTGAGTTTGCCCACCGCCTGGGATCCAAGCTTCAACATGTACTGGTACACATTGAAGGCGGAGCCTTGTTCATCCAGCGCGTCAAACACCTTGAACGCGTCCTCCACGGTTCGCTGCATCGTCGGAGCATAATGCCGCACGGCCTTGGGACCAAGGGCTGGGGGCAAGAATTTATGGGCCACCCGCCATTCCGGGGTGTCGGTATCACCCAGGAAGACACCCGCAGAGGGGGTTTTTAAGGCATGAAGTGGATGGGCTTCGTTGATCTTCTTAGAAAAGAAGTCCGACTCGGCGAAGACGATGGCGGCGATTTGCGGATCGTTGGTATGGTATGTGGTACGGCCCAGGTTGGTGGTCTTGAAGATCCGGCCATACTGGCTATAGAGCCGCTGGTGATTACCCAGATGATCTGGATAAACCTCAAAATAATTGCCCACGTACGGAAGGCCCTTTGGACCATCGGGTTCTCGTACTGCGTGGCCGTTGATCGTGATGGCTACGGGTCCGGTAGCCGCGAGGACATCGCTGACATCGACGAGGCACTCCATGTCGGTTTGAAAGCCGATCTCTGACTTAAGGTTAGTGATCAATGACAAACGGAGCATGATCGTTGTCAGACTGACCAGCTGGTTCCACAATGGCAAAATGAGCAGCCACCGTGTGCTTCAGTTGATCCAGGTTCGCCGAGGCATCAATTGTGATGTGCTTGGCGGACGTGGTCGCCTCGCCCAAGAGATAGAACTGCTGGTTCGACATGGGGTGTGGTCACGATGATATGCTTGTTGATCTGGACTTGATCGGCCTCTGGGGGAATGACTTGCCCCTGTCTTTATAACTGGGTAGATGCCAGTATCAATTTTCCACACTTAATGAAGTCTCATATACCTGTGGAGACGCATCCATCCCTCCCGCGGCTCTGTCTCTCCCGCGGCAGTGAGGGAGGGCCCTACGGCTTCATCCCGAGGTAGCATGGTCAGCTTTTCAATCCCCCCTTGGACGATTGGCCATCCTGCTAACGTGGTCATTTGGATGTGGGTCCAGAACTAAATCAGGGAGAGTATTGGTCGACACCTCAAGGCATAGTGCCGCTCTGTCATGATATACATATAAAAGAGTCACCGCGCACAGCTAGCCCGCAGGCCAACTCAGTAGATCTCATTCTTTGTTTCCAGACTTCGAAAAAGGGCTTTCCTCCTATTCCACTTGCAATGCAGGACTTACCGCAGTATACGATGGACGAGGTCGCTGGTCACAAGTCCAAGGATGATTTGTGGATTGCTATTCATGGCAAAGGTACCCCGATCACTCGTGGACCGCTTGCCTCTATGCCAAGCCAACGGAATGCTGATGAGATTTCTTGATGTAGTGTACAACGTCACCGAGTATGTTCGAGATCATCCTGGCGGGGCAGAAGTACTAATGGATGTCGCGGGACTGGACGCGACCGAAGCGTATGAGGACGTGGGCCATTCCGAGGTATGCACGGGAGTCATATTCACCACGTATGTACTGTACATTTGAAGGCTGACATGACACCCACAGGATGCAGACGAGATCCTCGAGACATATCTCACTGGAACATTGAAAGATGCACGCGAGCGGGTTCGGCCCCAGACCGTCCGATTGATCCAGTCCACGAGCCCTGTGCCACCCACAGCCCCGGGGAAGGCCGGTTCCATCACGCCTGTAGCCCTAACCATCTTCTCCATCGGCGGGGCGGCCGTCACCCTGTTTTATGGCCGTCACTTGCAGGCCAAGCTCCTTGCAAGTTGGTCGGCACTTCCCGAGCTTCGAAGTCTCCTGCCCTCGCTCCAATCCCCCCATGCGCTGTCCACCTCTGGGGGCTTCTATACCGGGTTTGTCGCGGCAGCCGGACTGGCGACCCTCGTGGGCTCGATGGTCGCATCCAAGTTATCACAAATGACCCAAATCAAGTCGGGCTTCACCAAGTATCCGCCCTACATCAAATGTCGCAAGCGGATTCGAGGGAATCCTCATCTGGTCAAGGGGTTTCTTGATCCCAAGGCGTACAAGAGTCTCCCCTTGATTCGCAAAGAAGAACTGGCCCCCAACGTCTATAAGTTCGTGCTGCAGCTCCCCAACCCGCAGGATGTAATCGGACTGCCGATCGGTCAGCATGTTGCTATTCAGGCGAACGTCGACGGCAAGGCCGTCTCCAGATCCTATACTCCTACCTCGAACAACCTGGATCGAGGAGTCTTGGAGCTGGTGATCAAGTGTTATCCCGACGGTTTGCTGACGGGACGGTATCTCGCCAACCTGGAGATTGGCCAAGAGATTCAGCTCCGGGGCCCGAAGGGCGCGATGAAGTATACCCAAGGGATCTGTAAGCGGATCGGCATGATTGCCGGGGGCACCGGAATCACCCCTATGTACCAGCTGATCCGGGCGATCTGCGAGGACCCGACCGATCTTACGGAGGTCAGCCTGATCTATGCGAATCGCACGGAAGACGATATTCTGCTGCGGCAGGAACTGGACCAGTTCGCGCACAGGTATCCTCGGAATCTCCAGATCTGGTACATGTTAGATACGCCATCGGAGACTTGGGCATTTGGGAGGGGGTATGTCACGGCAGAGACCATGAAGGAGCGATTGCCTGCTTCGTCTCCTGATACGAAGGTCATGTTGTGCGGACCACCGGGGATGGTGAACGCCTCCAAGAAGGCTTTGGTGTCTCTGGGGTTCGAGGCTCCTGGGGCAGTGGCGAAGATGTCGGATCAGATCTTCTGTTTTTAGTACTGTGCCCATAGCTCGTTTCTGGGGGGGGGAGGGGGGGGTCCAATAGGTAGATACTGTGGGAGTCTGGCAAAGGCATCGAATATATGTAGAGTATGTACATACGAACATTCTGCAGAGAACATGAGGGATTGAAGAGGACAAGTGCTAGAATTGCTAGAAAATACTCTGTATCCATGATCAGTTGTCCACATACCGATTACTATAATAGTTCTCTTCCTACTTGCTTGTCCTATAGCCGTATTTGTATTTTGGCAGGATACTAACTTATGCCATCGGGGAGTGCATAAAGTCAGTTGGATAGCGGCCGCTGACTAACTATGCATTGGGAACGAAGGGTTGCCCGATTTGCCCGGTTTGCCTGGTCTGCCTCATTTGCCTCGTTTACCTCATTTGCTTCATTTGCCTCCTCCCGCGGGATCTCCTCTTCTCCACGTCTCCTTCATCGTTGCCGAGGAACCTACCTTGAATCAACTTACACTTTCCATCCTCTTTCCTCCACCCTCCACCCCTTGCTTCCACTAAAACTTCCTTATGTCAGCTCGTCGCTACCGATCTACGGTCGCCTGTCACTCATGCCGTCAGCGTAAGGTACGATGCAGCATCAATGTCACCGGGGTTCCCTGCATTCGCTGCGCCCAAGACCATGCCGAATGTGTGGTGGATCCTCCTCCCGCTGAGAGGTGAGATGAGAACGGCAGGAAGCGTCTTCTAATCAAGCGAACATGGCTGACGGAGTGGGGGAAGTGCCAGGACCAGCCGGCGCAATGCATCGGCGCGACAACGGTTACGTGCCGTGAACAGTAGCCCGTCTTTCCGCGGTGCACAGCCCGAAGGGGATGCAGATCGCCCGCCGATGCCTCGGACACCGGCCTTCCAAAGAGTCTCAGCAGACTCACCGGCTGCTTTGGCTTCGGAACGATACAGCATCCAGGACGAGGAACGTAACGGTCTCGAGATTGCAGAGGCCGCTTTGGGCAACCCGGAACGTGCCGGACAGGTTCCTTTTTACACCGGTACTAGACATTCCTTACAGCCAACCCGGGCACAACGCCGTGGCTTGAGTCTACCCAAGGCTAACGGCCTCATTTCTGACCAGGGGATAAGACTGGAATAACTTCAACCCTGACGCTCCTTGCTCCGGGAGAATCACTACCCCGGCATTTCCTGATTCCGTCGCGCGCAGCAACCTCACTGTCAGCGGAGGATCAGAATTACCTGGCAAGCAAAGGGGTCTTCAGTTTACCGAGCAGCGAAGCATGCCATTGTCTGCTTCAGGCATATTTTCATCATGTGCATACGATCATGCCGATCATCGAAGCAGATCAGATCCTGCACTTCTTTCACGCGGGACGATTACATGAGTTCAATTTGCTGCTGGTGTGGAGTGTGTTCTTTGTTGCTGTGAATGTAGGTCGCGACCAGTATACGATGGCGCGTCTGTGGCCTGCATGCTGCGGCTCGAGTGGCAATCGGAGTGCCTAAATTCCAGAAAACAGCTAACGCCCTCACAGTTTGTTCCATCCTCTCTCTGCGAGAGAGAAGGGTACGACTCACGAAAGGCGATGAAAGCAGCCATGTATTCCCATGCAAAGGTAAGATAGCGTACCCTTTCCCCTTGTGTCTGTGCTGGCGAACAAACTTCCTACGGTCCACCAACGCATCCCAATCACGCTCCTATCGCTTAGAAGTGCTTCACACTTCAATATGTACTCGCTGCCACGTTCTACTCTGTCGGAGCTCAGGCAAAGTTTGTTCAAATACTCGCGTGCTTGGGCAAGCGCTCCGAGAAAGAACTTTGGTACCTCTGCTTGTCGAAGAACTTTTTACAGGCGATATTCCGGTCGACGTGGCTGCGCATTGTCCTGAATGAGGTGCTAATTCGAGGAATAGTGTCTCTACAACAACAGTGGAGAGCGAGACAAGGTCGTTCTTCTGCAGTCCTCTTTGATGCTCGGCTTCTGGCACTCCGAAGTAGATGAACATGTCCAGCCTTGGTACTGGACTGGAATATCCGTGACTCTTTGTCAGATCCTCGGCCTCCATCGCAATCCCGACGCGGCACGATATAATGCATCTATCACCGACCGTCAGCGACATCTCTGGCGTCGCCTCTGGTGGACATGCTTCTTCCGGGATCGTTGGCTGAGTCTGACGTTGGGACGGCCGTTGCGTATTGACCTCGATGACTGCGATGTGGCCATGCCGTTGGTGGAAGATCTTCTCTATGACCTCAACAATGTTCCAGAGCCACTTCTATCCGCCTTCATTCCGGATGAAGTCTCTCGCCTGGCTGAATATTGGATCCAGTTAATAGGCATGAGCAGATTGCTAGGCGCCGTCCTCTCTATGAGCTACAAGACAGCTCGTCCGAAACCCTCGCGTGAGGAAGTTGAGACTCTTGAGGCAGAGATCTGTTGTCAACAACCCCCAGAGAAGGCGGCCCCGGGCTGGAATGGTCCCACGAGATTCTACCTGCATCACCTCCAATTGCATTATCAGTATGCGCACGCCTTTTCTTAGTTCGCTATTCCGCTAATATCCGCAGAGCAATCCTCATTGTCCTATATCGACCATGTATCACCGACCCGCCGGACGACGTGTCTCTGAATCACCAGACGCAGTGGCAGGAAACCATTCGTCACAAGGCCGACTTTGCAGCCTCCCGTACCAACGAGATCCTGGAAACCCTCGCACAGGAGAGTCTGCTTGAATATGCCCTGCCTATGACGTAGGTCAGCCCCAGCGGGGCAGTCTGTTCTACGATGATGATCCTGATCTCTACAGACCACCCCTACTGATTCCGGCCATGCAAATGCACCTTCTGAACTGTCGGACCGGCAACTCTCTATCACGACGTCTCCGGCTCAACAAGCTCAACGTATGTATGATGGTCATGGAGGAGTTCCAGAAGGTCTACACCGTTGCGTCTATCTACCGTGGAATTTTTGCCAAGGCCATTCAACAAGTCTGCCCCGACCGTCTCGACGAGCAACAGGACACTTCAGTCTCGATTCCTGCGGCGGCACCTCTTTCTGCACGGTCCGACGATGTGACCAATGCCACAGCTGCTGGCTATCCGGGACTTGGCACTGATATGGACAATATGGTGGATGCTCTTCTGGACGAATCGTCGGCCCTTAACTTTTGGGAGACGTGGGGTCAATTGTGGGTTGGATAGAGTCGGTCGGACCAGATTGTAGCGATTCACACGGGCGATAGCGTAACGACCTGTATTGTCTTCATTACGACCATTTTACCAGGGTCCTTGCCAGGGTCTAGCTCAATCTTGCTTGGCACCGCTCAAGCCCAAACCCCGAAGATCAAGGGATGGCACGAGCCACTCCATGAGGGGGCATTCCTCAGCGAAGCTCGGGGTTTCTCCGAAGGATTCACACCGGGGAAGCGGGTCGGTGGGCCGGTCCATCAATTCAAACCTTTCGTATTGAGTGGGTTGTCTGGCGGGTTAGTGCGTGACAAGCGCAAAGGAAAATTACGCCATACATCTTATCGTCAACTGCGAATACGACGCAAACCGTTTACATACGGATAGAGGACTTCGACATCTGTCAAAAACGCGGCTGACGTGGGATAATAAGCTCGGACTCGCCACCTCGTTTGCAACGGCTTGCTGCATGCTGCTGATCGTCCTTCTTACGACCTTTTTATCAAGTGGGTTTTCTCGGGATCAGTCCTAGCGAGGAGCAAGAGAGCGACATCTGGATACGTTAGTGGCAGCGTCAGAATGAGCGCCGTCAGTGATTCTGTACGCCGGGCGATAGGCACCGTACTGGCGAGCTGGTCATGGCCCTATGTGGTTGGAATTTTGGTAAGTCTATCTTCCTGCCCACAGACCATGGACTAAAGGTATGACTCAGATGGTATCATGGCTGTCATATGCAGTGGTGTATGAGTTGCTCCTCTCTCCACTGGCCAAATACCCGGGCCCTAGACTGTGGGCTTTGTCCTACATCCCCTCCCAGCTCAGTTTGATGCGAGGACATCACCATGTGAAGATGCTTGCTCTTCATGATCGGTACGGTCCGATCGTGCGGACTGGTCCCAACGCCCTGTCGTTCAACACTGCGGAAGGGTTCAAGGACATCTATGGGTTTCGCCCGGGCGTGCCTCAATTTCCGAAAGACCCCAAGACATACGGGTCCTCTTTGATGCCCACTCGTGACGCCGTTGGGGGGTTTCTGGACAATGAATCCCACAGCCGACAGCGACGGCTTCTGGCCCATGGGTTCTCCGACCGCGTGATTCGCGAACAGGAAGCGAGGATTTGCTCGTTCATTGACCTGTTCATTTCGCGGCTGCGAGATCTCGCCCACCAGGGCAAGGACATCGATATCAAGGCGTGGCTGGAGTTCGCCGCATTCGACATCACGGGCGACCTGATGTTTGCTGAGACGTTTGACTGCCTGCAGGATAGCCAACTGCATCCCTGGATCGAGTTCATCTTCAACAGTATCATGGGCTCGACGATCCTCAGCGCCATTCGCCACTTCCCGGTGCTCGCGATGCTACAGGAGGTCTGCACCCCGGCGTGGTTTCGCCGGCAGATCATGCAGAACTTTGAACTCAGTGCGGAAAAGGCGGAGCGGCGGATGACCCTCGGGGCGGACCGAGTGGACTTCATGTCGGCCATGATTAAGAACGGACTTGAGGACGATAGCCCGCACACACAGGACGAGAAGAGAGTGATGCGCATGTCGCGCCATGAGGTCCACGCAAACTCTACCTTGTAAGTCGACCTCGCTTGCTGCTGAAGTTGACTATGCAATGCTGACCTGTGTAGTATCATTCTAGCAGGGAGCGAAACCACCGCCACTGCGATGTCCGGGTGCATTTATTATCTCTGTACCAACCGGTCCGCACTGGATCGACTGTGTCAAACAGTGCGCGAGGTGTTCCAGACCGATGCAGATATCACCTCTGCCACCTGCGCCAGTCTTCCCTACGTGGATGCAGTGATTGATGAAGGGCTGCGCATGTACTCGCCCATGGCGGCCCATCTCCCTCGCGTAGTGCCTCGAGGCGGTGCGACCGTCGCTGGTCAATTTCTCCCTGAGAATGTACGCAACTTCCTGCCCTTCTCTTTTTTTTTTTTTTTTGATGAGCCTAGGAACGAGACACTTACTCTATTTGTTTCAGACGGACGTTCACGTCCCGCACTACGCCTCCTACATGAGTGATACCAACTTCTTCCGGGCCAAGGAGTTTCTCCCAGAGCGCTGGTTGGGCACTGACCCACAGTTTGATGGGGATAGGAGAGACACGCTCCAGCCGTTTTCCATGGGAGCCAGAAACTGTCTGGGAAAGAGGTTAGTATTCCGATCGGTGAAGCACGATCGTCGACTGACAGTAAACAGTTTGGCTTATCTGGAAATGCGTCTAACGCTTGCCAAACTGGTGTATCACTTCGACATGGAGCTGTGCCCAACGTCAGAGCGATGGAATGATCAACGCACGTATTTCATCTGGCATAAGCCGTCCTTGATGGTGCGGCTGAGGGATCGGTTGGCTGTTTAGTTCGCTTAGCGCATGATCATAGTACAGAGATGTCACAAGACAACCACACTCCCGATTGAACGAGAAACGCATAGAATCAATTCTACCACTATGACTATAACTATAACTATGCAGATTAACTCCTAGAAGCAAGGGAGTACGTGTATCACAACCTCGCCCCCTCGTTCCCAACCGCCCACCTCACCACCGGATCCCTTTTGACCAAGGCCAACGCTTCGGGCTCCAAGACCAACCGCACCTCCCAGGGCGCATCCTTGCCCCTCGCCGGCAGGATCCACGCTGCGCTGCGGAACCGGGGATCCGGGACATCGAAATCGCGCACCCGGCCCAGTACACTCCCAAAATCCAGACGATACGTCCCGATACTGCGCAGACTGCTCTGGCCGAACTCGGCGGGTCGCGAGGCCGCACTCACCGACCAGTCCGGGGAGTTGTAGACCTGCGCGAGATGCTGACGCAAGTAGTCGCTGTCCACCGAGGCGTTGCCGCGGCGGATGAGGAGGGCTAGCTGCGTGAGGTTGGTCAGCACTGCCGTCTCCAACGGTGCGCGCTGGCTCTCTACCGGGGGAGTATCCGTCGGATTCGTCGGATTCGTCGGGTCGAGGGGATCCGGGTAATAGGGGTATGTGTCGTCGACGGTGGCGGCCATGGGGAAAGGGGCGTGGAGAGGGATGGTGTGCACTGCATTACCGATGTAGGTGCGTGGGAGCGGAGGGCGAAGGGCGGCGCGCACGTCGATGGCGGTGCTGAGGCTGGAGTGGTGTTTCTTCGCCGCAGGACCGAGGAGTCGGGCGCGGGCGCGCATCACGCAAAGCCAGATGAGACTTAGAACGAGGTCGTTGCGCGAAAGGACCCGGTCTTTTGCCTGTGTCCCTCCCTCCGAGGTCGCGGAGGGGAGGTGGGCGCTGCAAAGGGTCTTGAGTTGGGAGATTCGGTTCGGCGAGAAGATGAGCTTGCGGCTGATGGGCTGGTTGGGTACGTCGGGGGGAGCGGCGACGCCCCAGGTTTGCCCGGCGGCTTGGCCATCCAGGGTCTGGACGGGGCCGGCGCTGGCGGCTTGGAGGATAAGGTTGCGGGTTTGTTTCTCCTGCTCTAGGGTGGTGAGAAGATTGGTGATGGTGGTGTTGGTGATGTCGACCTCGCGACTGCAGGTAGCTAGGGCTTCGAGGACAAAGCATTGGCCCATTCCGTCGACGGCGTTATGATGTGCGCTGCCGCAGAGGATGATTCCATCCTCGAGAATGTTGGCTTGGAATCGATACACCGGGCTGGCTGGGGCGGAGCCCATGTTTAGTGGGAGGGGAAGATATTCCTCTGTAAAGATGTCGTCGTAACTGATGGTTTGGCCTCTACCGCGGACTGGTGAGGCGCTCGCCGCACTGGATATGTATTTGCGGGGGTGGTGCTTGATAACGAGCATTGGATGCTGATCCAGCACGGCTGCGGTGGAGGGCTGGACCTCCCGTACGTTCTGTTGGCCAGGGATTGGGGGAGGAGGAGGAGGAGAGAACCACATTGCCTGTCAGAAAGGGCAGCTCATTGATGAGTCGCTCTACGGCAGCTTCAAGGACTGGGATGGCCCGCGCGGGATTGTCAAGAATGAAGGTCAAAAAGGCTGTCATGTGCAGTGGGGGAGGGAGATAGTCGAAGGGGGTGAGCATGTAGGGCTCGAAGATAGGAGGGGGGTTCGGTATCATGGTGTCTTTGGTGTTCTTGGGTTCCTGGGCTCTTGGGAAATGGGCAAGGGAATGGAGATGTCACGGTTTATCCGTTTATCCCTGGGACGAAATTTATATTGTGCCCTAAGGTTGCTGTCTGGACGCAGAGATAGCACACACACACTGTACGGTAAGTACGTACATGTACATATACAGTACGGCAACGCTAACAGTACAAGTGCTGACAGCCTCGTATTCTGCATCTGCGCCTATGCAGGATAGGTCTGGGCCCAGAATTCTGCATAGTATGTCAAGAATCTCCGTCCGATCAGCAATCGTCTACCCCCACTTACCCCGCCAATAATCTGGTCGGGTATTATCTACAGCACCATCAGATTTGTAAGAAACACTTGGGGCAGAAGTTGAGCTTCCACCGTTAGGCTCGTGGTTAGGGCATCCTGCGCCCAAGGTGACATTCCATATCTCTAGCACAAATGCATGTCAAGCCATCGACAATTAGGCCTTGACCGGAATCAGCTTGACCATCAGAGCCGGTTTGTCCCAGATCGTCCAGATTCGTTGTCCCGAGAACCATGTCTCATTCGCAGGCACAGTCTCGAAGTCAAAGTGCAAGATCAGATTGCACAGAATGAGTAGCATCATATACTGGGCCATTCTATTGCCGGAATGTTAGCACGCGTCGTGCCAAATGGATCTCTCCCGATGAAACACTTACTCTCGACCAACGCAATCCCTAGTCCCCACCGAGAACGGCTTGCACGCATCGCGCTGATCCTGCGCGTATTGCTTCTCTGGCTGGGCAAACCACCGCTCCGGAGCAAACCTCTCCGGCTCATGGAAGTTGGCCGCCGAGCGAAACGCCGCCAAGGGCGTCACATAGACACGGGTACCCTCGGAGACCCAGTCGCCTGAGATGGTGGCACCCGGGGCCGGAACGATACGGGGCAGGATGCCGGGCACGGCGGCGTAGGCACGCAGGGCCTCCTTGATGCACGCATTGAGCAGAGGAAGGTCCTTGAGGGTCTGCATCGAGATCTCCTCGCTCGACCGGTACTTGGTCCGCACCTCGTGCTGGACCTGGCGGAGCATCTCCGGTTGCTGGAGCATGTGGGCCATCCAGCCACTGAGCGCGGTGGAGCTGGTCTCACTGCCCGCCATCATGATGATGGGGGCTGTCGCGCGCAGCTCGCCCTCAGAGATGCCGTCGGCCTCGGTCCGGGCTTCCATGACGAAGTGCACGAGGTCGGGCCGCTTCACGCCGGCGGATAGGCGGTGGTCCAGGCGCGCGTTCAGCATCTGGAAGTAGCTCTCGCGCTCGGTCTTGACCAGCCGGGGCAGCGTCAGGTTGAAGAGGATGCGGAGGATGGGGAAGTCAATCAGCGAAGCCAGCAGCGAGGCGCTGCGGATGACGCCCAGGTGGCTGCGCACCCAGGGATGGTAGGTTGGGTCGTCCAGCAGGTGGAGCGACTCGCCGAACTGGAGGTCGCAGACCACATCGAAGAGGGTGAAATTAAACATGTCCACAATGTCCACCGGCTGCTTCTGCGCCGCCGCGAGCGCCAGCTTCTCCATCATCCGGTTCACGTGGCCCAGGATCAGGGGTTCTTGCTGGGCCAACGCCCGCTTGGACAATGCCTGCGCGTACAGGCGCCGCATGCGCGCGTGGTCTTCATTGTTGGCCGAGAGGATCGAATGGATCCCGTTCTGATCTTCCACCGACCGGAAAAAGGTCATATCGCGCGGCATGCCCCCCGGGCGCGCGGGATGGCTGCCGTAGATGTCCTTCCAGGCGCTGGCGCTGGCGTAGCTCAGCTCGTCCGGGGCGACGCGCACTACTGGCCCGTACTTTGCGTGCATCTGGTTAATCCACTCCGTCGAGTGGCCCGTCATGACCCCGAACACGATGGGGAGTCGGCTGACGGCCATCAGCCGGGGGCCAGGGTAGCGCTTCAGCGGGTGGAAGAAGACATTGTAGATCGCGAAGCCGATGTAGTACTATCATGATGATGCCTTCGTTAGATCGTGTATCTGGTCCTGCGGGGATATGGTGAGCCTACTGGAACAAGTGCCAATGCTAGAGCCTCAAGAGCCAAGTAGGCCGACAGTTCCACAGACAGCATGATATCAAGTGCGAAAAAAGAGTCGCCGACTGATGAACTGGAAGAGAAACAGTGCAGCGGACGTGAATGCGGAGAGAAAGAGATTGAGCCCACGCAAACAAAAGCCGAGACTGGCGAGGAAGGTAGGGCTCTGACTTATCGCCGGCAGTTTCCCCTCCACTCGTCGTCGTCCTTCTGTCTGATTGTGGACGGAAGCTATACGTATGCTGAGCGGACTAGGTACAGTACAATCTGCAGTCAGATGCGCTTGCAGCATTCCCACCACACACTAGGGCAGACAGCCCACGTCACGTAGATTGGTACTTTTGGCACTATCCAGGCTTTCTTTGTGTATCTGTCGTCCATGGGAGGTTTGTAAGACAATACGCCCATACGCAGAGGAGGCCGAGGATGGATAGGTGTATTCTGCAACGGTCTGGAATCAAGGGTCTTTCTTCTCTGGATGACATCTCCACCAATGGCGAGGCCACATGGAATATGCGTTATTTGCAAAACACAGAAACGACGATACATACGAAGAATCTTGAAAAACCAGCGGACTAGTGTAACGGCCAAGATGGCGCTATTTTGCTGGTGAATCTCATCACACGAGGACATTGCTTGGCAAAACTGAGACAATTCCTCCAAGCCCAGCGGCTATTTAGTACGGTACTTTACTTTAATTCCTTCTTTACAACGCTACTGACAGGGGTGAGGATAAGCTTGTTAGTGGAAGTCAAACACGAGGCGAATCTGCAGGTTGACCCTCCGTCTCCGTTGCCCTAATGCCCCAAAGGGAAACTGGTCTGTCTTATCTTGCCCCAAGACTCAAGGCCAGCAGATGTTGTATAGGTGCTAAAAACTTACCAGACCAGCCCTGCACCTCTAAACTAGTGGCTTTTTTCTTGACCCAATCAACTTGGTGCTTCACTTTTCATCGACAGTCTGGTGCGGGCAGCAGATAACGATGTATTCATTCCTCCAGGGCTGAACCGACCCACCTAATCGATTCGCTGACAGGATGCCATACCTTGAGACTTGCAGCCGCTTCTGCATGTCAAATCATGGCAGGCTTGGTGCGTTGAGCGCACTAATCCGCTGTCATCAACCTAATGCATGTTCTGCGAACGAATCCACTTACGGCCTAATATTGCACTTAACCCACTTTTCGTCAGATAAAGGCCCTAATAATGCATCCACATGCTGCGTGACAAGGCCCAGACAACCATGTCGAGAACGGAAGTTTTGATCCATACATGTCCCTGTATAGTTTATACCCCCCCGCAGCTATTATTGGGATTCAACTTCACCTAATCGTTCCTGCGGAGAGACCCGATACGGGAGTCCTCAATCCTTCCTCGTATTTGCCGTGACGTGTCTAGCATCCAAGAATGTTCCGGTAGACACCCTACGGGGCTACTTGCCTCAAGCTCTCGAGGCAACCAGCACGAAGAACGACCTTGTTACTTCATCTGATCGGAGTCGCCGCACTTTTCCATGACCAACATACCCACTATTAATGCCAATTTCTCCGACTTGGCGGCAGGCAATGTCGTGCTATCGACGTTTATTCTGCTTATCGCGGCGTCAACGGCTCGTATCTTCATGCACGCTCAAATCCCGGCGGGGGTGAATGTTTGCCGACGCGGGTGGTATAGATGAGAGGAGCGCGTTCGTCCCGTCCGGTAACATCGTACTGCATAGGAAAAGGCGTTTTCATGACGAGAGGGGCCTTTGGTATGTATGGCCTTCTGAGAGTGTGCCCAGCAGACGGCATCCTGACGGAGGCGAATCCAGCGGAGCCCCTTGGTACTCAGCAGCCATAAATTGCACTCAAACTAGCCTCTCATCTGAACAAAGTCAGAGAGCACGGCCGTGGTAGTCATCCCTTAACGAGACCATCATGGATTCCATGTGGCAAGCCGTCAAGACCTACTTCGGCGAGAACCCCATCCAATTACACACCCACTGCTGTGATCTGAAACCCCCCAAAGCCCGCAATGAGAACATCAACTTCGGGGTCGAGATTCCCGAGGACGTGATGGGGCTCTTCTCCGCCATCGGCGACACCAGCCGGCCTCCCTGTACGTGCGACGGAATGGATGCCCTCGTGGCACATATCGATGCCTTCATCCGCGCCGCCCCTGCCCGCCGGCCGGAGGACTATACCTTGCACAGCGGGAAACAGGACCAATCCTCCGAAGACGTCTGCCGGTTCGCCATGCGGGACGCGCTGCAGTGGTGGACGGTGTGGCATGGCTCGCTGGAGCATCACAAGTGGAAGCACCTGTACCTGGCGCTGTGCACCATCTCGGACGACCTGGTCATCCCCCCGCAGGATCTGGCGGATGGCACCTTCACGCTGCTGGGTCACTCGCTGGCCGATATCCTGGCGGGGCTGCGCGCGGAGCACGTCCACCCGGACGAGATCAAGCACCTCGAGATGCTCACTTGGCGCCAGTACATCATGCAGTACGTGGAGAAGGTGGATGCGGGCCTCCGGCCCTTGCTCCTGGGCAAGACCACAATGATGACCCAGTTCCGCGTCATGACGGCGGGGGTTCACAACGTCGCCATCATTCTCCTCGCCGCCCGCGGGGCCCGGTCGCGCGGGCCCCAGGATGCCGCCGTGGAAATGGCCGCCATCTGCGACTGTCTGTCCATGGACATCGCCAAGGAGGCGCTGGGGATCCTGCAGGGCGAGAAGACCGAGGCCGTGGCCGGGCGAAACCGCGTCCAGCTCAAGCGCGAGCTGCGCTGGTTATACATCCGGTGCGTCGAGTACCTCGATACCCAGCCCGGGGCGGCCTTCCTCCGGCGATACGCCACGGGAGGCTATATCTTCGTGCCGTTGATGGACCGGTACCGCGAACGGGCGCGCAAGGGAGCCCGCACCCTCATGTCAAGTGATCTGTCCCGGCGGGTCGATGAGTATCGCACATTAGTGCCGGCCAAGGCGTCGTCGCCGGTGGGTGCGGGTCAAGCGTCGTTGGGAGGGAAGACGGCCAGCGGGGCGCTGAGTGTCTGGGGTATTGGACCCCGTTTAGCGGTCAACCTGCTGGGCTCGTTCGTCTGCTCCTTTGCGGTTCTGTTGGTGCTGTTTGTGCTGTCTAGCGAGAAGGAGAATGTGCTACATGCTCTCACGCGGTTTCCGTTGATTTAGTGATAGGTTACTTCACTGTGTTGGGGTTTGGTTTAGGTAGTCTGACGAGATACATGACAATATACTGATCGAAGTTACCATGACAGTGTAAAGAGCCCGTCGAAGCAGTCTTGGCGGTTAGGTTTACATAGCAGACATCAAATGTTGGATACGTGAACCAACCTGGGCATTGAGATTGCTTGCTCAACAGCTTCCCTCTGCACGGCAGCAATCCAGAAGTCAATGGAGGCAGAAGTAGAAGTCCATTGATAAGGTCACGCCAAAGTCGACAGATACAACGCCACCGGAATTAAGCACACCGAGAGCCCAAACAGAGAGATCACTTGAATACGAAAAGGCAGATCCTTGCCTGCACGCCGCCCGGATAGATGTATGTTTGCAATCTCCTTCATGATGTGCTTCTGGTGCTTGCCACTGGCAGTCTTGGGGAAGTCCGGACACACTCCGCTGTCTCCAATCCAGAAGACATGCTGGGGGGCTTTGTGCCAGCTCAATTCCACCCGCACCCAGTCTCGTAGTTCTTGATCCTGCGGCTGAATGTGTCCCTGGGTCAACTTGAGAAAGCAGCCCACCACCTCGCCGTACCTGGGATCCGCCACGCCCACCACGCTTGCTTCTGCGATAGCGGGATGCAGCAGGAGACGCTCCTCAATCTCGAGAGGGAACATGTTCTCTCCTCCTAGAAGGAAAGGATACCTGGTTAGACGCGATCCCCTGCGTGGTACGGTCTGTGGGCAGTCTTACCTCGGATAATCACATCCTTAATCCTCCCACTGATATGACAGTATCCCTCCGCGTCGAGATAGCATTGGTCTCCGGTATGCATCCACAACCTCCCGTCCGCGTCGCGTTGCATTGCCTCTTTCGTTTTGGCTTCATTCTCAAAGTACCCCCTCTGGAGCCCGTATCCACTGGTGCATAACTCGCCGCTCTCGCCCCGCGGCACAATGACTCCCTCCTGGTTGATCACCTTGGCCGAAGTATGCGGCAGTACCCTCCCTAGGCTCGTCATTGCCTTGTCCCTGGGATCATCCAACGAAGTCATAAACGTCACCGGACTGGTCTCCGTCATCCCGTAGGCGATCAACATCCCCTTGACGCCGAACCTCTCCTCGAGCCGACTGAGCAGCGTCTCCGAGACCGGCGACCCGGCCGCCAGTCCCGTGCGCACGGTGGTGATCTTGTCGAGCTTTCGGACGGCACATGCCTCGAGCTCGGCGACGAACATGGTGGGCACCCCCAGCAGGGCGGTGGCCTTTTCGTGGATGACCGCGTCGATGACGCTGTCGGCGTGGAAATGGTCGGAGGGGAAGACGATCGCGCTGCCGTGGGTGAAGGCGTTGAGAAAGCCGAGAACCAGCCCGAAGGTGTGGAAGAGAGGTGGGGGGCAGCAGACCACGTCGGCGGGGGTCAGGCGCATTCCGTCGCCAACGAGGCGGGCGTTATTGATGAGACCGCTGACACAAGTATCACGTATTAGAGATTGTCCCACGTGATTCCAGGGAGTTGAATCACCTACCGGTGGGTGAGCATGGACAACTTCGGCTCTCCACTCGTCCCCGAGGTAAATTGATAGCTGAGATTGTCGGACAGCCGCACGATCCGCTCCGCGGCGTGCAGCAGTCCCACGTCCTGTGCTGCACTCTCGCCCGCGGCCAGGAAACACCCGTAGCCTTGAACATGTGAGTGGGTATAGGGTCCGTCACTGTCGAAGCATACAATCCCACTTAGCTCCGGCAAGGTGGCTTGCAACGCGGGCGTGAGTAAGGTCTGGAGATGCGGGGCCAGGCTGCGGGGACCGATCTGCGAAGCGAGAAAGAGGAATCGGGTTGCTGAAAGGGAGGCCTATGAGCAAGCGGCTGGAAAATGAAGATTGCATAGTAATTCGTTGCCAAGCAGATGCACTCACAACTTCTCTGCAACGCGCGCAGCACTTCCGCTGGGGTGTAGGCGTTGTTCAAGGGTAGCACCGGACATCCAATCCGCGCCCCGGCCAGAAACACCTGGATGTATTCGTAGCGGTTGCCCGCCAACACCGCGATGCAATCGCCCAGGCGCAGACCGGCCTGCACCATCGCGGTGGCCAGCACTTTGCTACTTTCCGCCAGCTGGCGGAAAGACAATCGCTTGTCTTGCCACGGGGAGACCAGCGCCGTGCGGTCGCCATACTGCGTGGCCTGTTCCTCGATAAGTTGGCCCAGAGTCTGGGACCACAGGGCGGGCTCCTCTGCTCCATGGACGATGGACAACTTCTCCATGATAGAGACGAGAGAATATGGTGGGGTTTGGTCTTGGGGAGAAGCCAGAGAAATTGCTTGGGGGAGGGTAGAGTCAAAAAAAAGTCACGGTCGAGTGCTTTGGTGTGAGGGCAGGGGATCAGGCTGTCTCACCCTCAAAGACGGCAGGGATTCCCATGCATTGTGCATGAACCTGGCAGTCTGCAGACTGGTAGGTAGTAGTATGCAGCTATGTGTTTTGTTTGGGTGGCTGAGTTACGAGTGAGTGACTTTTGCTGATAACTGATAAGTAAGAGAGAGAGAGCGGGGAATTAGGGCCGGTAATACATGTGACCATAGTACCGTAAGTAACAGTAATTTTAATCTACCCCGCAGACTCGGTATTATGACCCCAGACCCCCCAAATGACACTTACCGCCTTTGGCGGTCTGCAGTACCACTTACTGGACTATCCTGTACTGTACTGTTCAAGGTCTCTCACTGATCCTATTTACTCGGCTGCCATTAAGTCACCATTCACACCATTCTCTGAGAAACCCACCCCCCCCCCCGCAGAAAAAAGTAAGTCTAAACACTACTCCGTAGTCCTCTGCAAAATTAGTCACTAGGTCCTCCTTGTCTCCTGGTGTCTGGTGGATACGTATGCGTATGCGGATGCGTCTCCCGTGTCACGAGTTGCTGGGTGAGGGTTTTCAGCTCCGAGGGGGCATCATTCTGATCCATATGTAATTCGACAAACTACCGGTATGATGACCAAATGGCCAATGGGGTCAGTAACCTGCGTGGGTCGGTGCATCACAACATCCCAGAGTGACTGGAGCCCGAGCTTTCGGAAAACTCACCCGAAGCATTCGCCCATGATTGAACGCCGAATCCTGCAGAAGCGCCGCCAGTTCCTCCTTGGTGCGGATCTGATATGTCTGATAGGACCCTGGCTCCGCCCCAAACACCTCCAGCAGCTGTCGATATTTCCATTCCTGAACGTCATTGTACGATTCATGCCATCCGTGGATCAGCCGCTCCACCGTGTAGCCATTGTTGCAGATCACAAATCTGAACCATCGGAGTTAATCCCCAATGCAGCTGCGGACTTCGATGGGTCAATTGACTTACATGATCGGGGTCAGATGATTTTTGACGATCGTGCTCAACTCCTGACACGTAAACTGAAAACTGCCATCGCCGATGAAGAGGACAGTGCGTCGATCGGGCAGGGCGGAATCCTGGACGGCCGCTGCAGCCCCCTGGCAGGCGCCCAGGGAATAGCCTACACTCGCCCAGACATACTGGCTGATATAGGTCACATCGCGAGGAAACCGGGTGGACCAGATGCCAAAATTGGAGGTGCCAGTCTCGGCGATAACCGTATCCCCCGGTTGCAGCCATTCACTCAGGGCCGGCCAGAGCCAGTCGTGGTTCAGCGCCCCGGTCGTCTTTCTGTAGCTCAGCGTATGGGACATACGTTTCAGCATCCCTTGCATCATCATCAGCCCGCCGCCGTAGATCGCCTCGCGGTCGACAGTCGTGGGAGTCATCGGGGGGGGTGCGTAGATCGGGTGTGGGCTTGCAGATGTGCTAGGCTGCACAGTAGCCACGGGGCTTCGTCGGGCAGACTGACTCAACTCTTCTGCTCGGCGGACGAGAGTCTGCAGAAGTCCCTGACTGTTCAGCCCGTGGTAAGCCTTGCCTCGGACTTGCACCGTCCCATCGCGGATCTCGACCATCTTCAGGGGATCAAACTCCCACGACACGGAGGCGACGTTCAAATCCGAATGAATATTGCCGACGGAGATAATCAAATCGGACGAGCGTACTCTCCGGGTGGTGGACGGATCGGAGCAGTCCCCGAGATACAGTCCATGGAAGCAGGGATGTTCTTCGTCAATAATGCCCCTGCCCGAGGCAGACAGGAAGACTGGCAGTCCGAAGGCTTCTGCCAACTCCTGCACCTCTTGCCTCTTCGTGAACCGGACATTGTACCCTCCGACCAAAAGGACGGGCTGCCGGGCGGTTCCAAGTGCGCGCAAGATTGCATCGGCGGTCCACCGCTCCGTCGCGGAATCGTTGGGCGAGGGCAGCATGTCCAGCGGCCGCGAGAGCTGCTCGGCCATGACGGGAGCATGCACCATGTCCGTGGGTAAGACGATGGAGACGGGTCGGCTGGACTTCCAGCAGTGACTGATCGCTTCGTCGATGAGTCCCGGTGCCTGGCTGACGCATTGGAGCTTGACGCTCTTCGAGGCCGTCCTTTGCGACATGCGGGTCATGCTCTCGAAGTCCCCATCGCCCAGGGAGTGATGCAGCAGCTTCTTCTGCTTCTGCAAGGCCAAGCTCGGCTGTCCCACAATGTGCACGATCGGGACGTACTCGGCGTACGCTCCGGCGATGGCATTGGAGACTGACAATTCCCCGACCCCGGCGACAGTCATCAGCGCCGAGATGCCATGGACCCGGGCGTAGCCATCAGCCGCGTATCCTGGATCGTCGTTCCGTCAGTCGAGGTGAGTCTGCAATGGGGTAGGTAGGGTACAAAAGGGCCTAAATCTCACCGGCATTGAGCTCGTTGCAATTCCCGATCCACCGGAGACCCGCCTTCGCTACGTAGTCGAGCGCAACCAGATTGTAGTCGCCGGGCACGCCATGGACGGACCGGATGCCAACTTCCTTGATGCGGGTGAACAGATACTGTGCCAGCGAGACGGTGGTTCTGGAGGACGGCATGGTCAGCAGATGGGGGTTCCAAGAAAATGCGGGATGCTCCTCTTCATTCCAGTGTCCTTTTAAACCAGATGTGATTGATGAATGTGGTGTCGAGGTGTTCGGGGTGTCCCATCACCGACGCGAGTCCTTTGGATCGTCTACATGTCCCAGAAATTCTTTTCCAGCCCATCACGTCGAACGAGGCGTAACACAGACTGCAAAATTGCATGTCCGTAACGGGAACATGACGATACAGGAGCTTTGTAATACCGTTCAACCTCCTGTGGTTTACTTGAGTCTGCAGGATGCATGCGCACGGTACGAGTCCAGCAAGACCATAAGAGTGGTGTCTCCACTAAATAATGCAAGAGCGAGTCTTCAGGCCATTCGGTTCTAGACAATCAGACCAGTCAGCTAGCTTGCAGGTCCTTCTGTCGTGTCGATTGGAATGCGTTTCCCCGGAGCTATAGCATCGGCGGAAATACGAGCGGATTGAAGCCACCAGGGTTGGAACTTAGCGCTTATCTTCTTGGTCTATCCTCTTGTCTTGTCTTACCATTCCTTACATTTGCCAGGGCTTGGATGACTGCAGTCGCTTCCACAGAGGCTGTCATTGATTGGTTGGGCCCACCTGCACTCACACCTCGAAACCCGGCGTCTGCCAGCGCATACGCTGCAGAAGCCTACTACCGAGACTGTGTACAGATGCAGTCCCTCCTGGCTATCGTCCACCAGTCAGGATAATGCCAGGAGTTGCACGAAACACGGCTGGCTGACCCTTTCCCCTCTTTCTCTCCCGTCTTGGTAGCTCGGTTTACGCCCCCCTATACGCAACTCATCTTCATTTGCCGTTTGCGCAGCAGAATCCCGACAGAGACGAGGGTGAAGGGTCAACTACGTACGGGCATCAAACCACTGGTACATTTCCTTATCCACTGGAGGGAGGACTATCTATGCATATTGCGTCGTCGAAGCTCTCACCAGCGCCCGGGTGATCATCTTCCCCATCGCGATCACCGCGTCAGTGTTGACGGGAATCTCATGGCCCTTGTTATGAATCCAGACTGATCGTTTGTCTTCCACACAGGCCGCCGTGATCGCCTCCGACGCCGGCGCGTTCTTGTCCGCCGACCCCCAGATATGCGCCGTCGGCAGATCCAGCATCCCCGCGTACGCGTCCCGCTGCAAGGGCACAATGCGACCGCCCACCAGCTCCTGGTAGTCGTACACAGCCCACGGGTTGGAGAAGAAGACCCCGAACTTAAAGGGCAGTGGGCGTGCCTCCCGCTGCAACTTGAGCAGCCAGCTCAGGGCAACGTTGGCCCCTTGACTGAACCCCATGATGCCGTCGTAGGGTCCTTCCGCGGCGATGTACCGTTCGAGGTGCTCCAGAGCTTGGAGGCATGATTCGGGTCCCTGAGGGTCGCAGTGCGCGAACGTTTGCTCTTCACCCATCACGAACTGGTCCAGGTCTGTTGTTGGGTGGTTAGGGCGGTTGAGCTTCAGTTAGGGCACTTAGGGCAGTTGGGACAGGATGGCATGCGGCACACCTCGATCGGTTTCCCATGCGACCGCGCCGTTGACGAAGTCGTAGCTGTGGTCGTCTCCAAGTTCATAGCGCAGTGCGGCTGTGGATAGTGTCAGCGCCATTGATTGGCTTGCAGGCTGCTAGCTAGATTCATACCAGTCTGCTGCTGGAAGATCTGTGTCGAAGAGTCAGGTAAGTACGTCTATGACGGGCTGGGTCACACTCACTCGGGCATTGCTGCCTTGTCCGTGTAAACTAGCAAAGCGCTTAGAATAACCTCAAGACAGGAAGAACCATTGGCTTCATCATGCATACCACAAGAAACGCATTTGTAAAATCGCTGTTGTTGAGGCTCACGGAGGGATTGTTGGGAGAAAACAGGTCAGTTCCTCGGTATGCCCCAGATAATCAACTTATAACATGTACCAGCATCGCACAGGTTCAATATGCGTTAGCTCCAATGAGAAATGAGGAACAAAGGCAGGAAGATCATGACCAGAGAAGATTAAGAGGGGCGCTTTCAGGGGGGAAGGGGGGGAAGAGCCCCAGCAAAGAGTCTATGCTCGAGGCGGAGACCCAACTCCTCGGCATAGCCGACGCACCGCAATCACGCCGGGCTCAGCTGAGGACGATCAAATACTCGATTCAAATCAAGTTATCTGTCAGATTACGGAATAGATTACTGCAGTCTGAACCATTGTACCGGTACGGTACGTGCGGATGGCCTGAAAGTGGCGTTGCGCTCGGCAGCATTGACCTTTGCTGCACGCCGAGCAACATCCTGCAGATAAGACCCACAATTCTCATTCTTGGGCTGAATCACACCTGCGAATCGCTTGCGGATGAGCTGACAGGTCTCGGGAAATTTGGGTGAAATCTGGTACATAGTAAATTACCGGTCACCTTTCGATTGCGTCTTGCATCTTGCGCCGCACTGCCCAGTCTAAGGCCCCAATCCCAACCCCATCATGCAAGAGGCGATCTCATTCCTCCACTAGCTCCTTCCAAGCAGCATGGAAAAGTGACGCGGAATTCCATGATGCTGTCAGTTCAATCAAAAGTAATAAAGGCGGTTCGTCGGTCGGTTGGAAGGTCATCCACCACGGTCCCTCCTCCCTAGAATAGACTTCTTGCTTTGGCCTCCCAAGGGCATCCCATTCACATCTACACCCTTCCTCCATCCATGGCGCAAACGGTAGAGGTAAAGCCTCCGACACCGCTGGCGATCGTCGGACTGTCCTTCAAACTGCCCCAAGATGCCGTTACCCCGGATTCCTTCTGGCAGATGCTCGTGGAGCGACGATGCGCCACGACCGACTTCCCGCCGGACCGACTGAACATCGACACGCACCACCGTGCAGACACCGATCGCCTGGACGCGCTGTCCATGCGCGGGGCGCATTTCCTGACGGAGGATCTCCGCCGCTTCGATGCGCCGTTCTTCTCCATCACCGCCGCCGAGGCCGAGGCCATGGAGCCGCCGCAGCGGTTGATCCTAGAGACCGCGTTCCGCGCGCTGGAAAACGCGGGGATCCCGTTACAGCGCATCGCGAAGTCTCGAACCGCGGTATTTACGGGCTCATCCGGCCATGACTGGTTGATGTCGCGGGCGAAGGATCCCCTGCACCAGCATAAATACGATATCACGGGGACGACGGGCAACATGCTCGCCAACCGCGTCAGTTGGTTCTTCGATCTGACGGGGCCCAGTGCCACTGTCGACACAGCCTGTTCGAGTAGTTTGATGGCAATCGATATGACGTGTCAGTCTATCTGGAGCGGCCAGGCGACCATGGTTTGTTTGAAGCGCCCTGAACGGATGCAGGCTGTGTGCTAACATGATCAGGGCCTGGCGATCGGAAGCAATCTCTTGCTGGCAGCTGAGGTAACGCAGATGATGAACAATCTGGGTCTGCTGTCGAAGGACAGTCGGTGCTTCAGTTTCGACGACCGTGCTAATGGGTACTCGCGCGGTGAAGGTGTGGGGGTGCTGGTGATCAAGACCGTGGAGGACGCCGTGCGCGACGGAGACGTCATTCGAGCAGTGATTCGATCCTCCGCTTCGAACCAGGATGGCAAGACGCCGGGCATCACTCAACCCAGCGCGGAGATGCAGGCAGCGTTGATTCGCGAGACCTACGTCAACGCAGGACTGGATATCGGGCAGACGCGGTATTTTGAAGCACACGGAACTGGTTAGCATTCACTATCCCCAGTCTCTCGGTATGGTTTGAGCTGACAGCATTTAGGCACCGCCGTGGGCGATCCCATCGAGACTAGGGCTATTGGTTCCGTTTTCCGACTGCATCGCTCGCCGGACGAGCCGTTGTACATGTGAGTTCGCTACATCTTGGTTGTCCGCCAACTCTGACTAATGTGATGTGATCCGCAGAGGATCCGTGAAGTCGAATATCGGCCACCTCGAGGGTGCAAGTGGTATCGCCGGGATGATAAAGGTCATTCTGGCGCTGGAGAAGGGCATCATTCCGCCGAACAGTGAGAACCTGCAGACCCTGAATCCGCGAATCGATGACGAGTTCTGGAATATAAAAGTAAAGCCCCAATGCACCGTTGATGAGCGGCGAAACATGAAGCTAACTGTCAAAGTTTCCTAAAGAAGCCCTACCGTGGCCAACGGGCGATGTGCGACGTGCTTCCATCAGCTCCTTTGGCTATGGAGGCTCAAACACACATATTGTCCTAGATGACGCCTATCACTACCTCCAACTCAACCAACTGGAAGGGAACCATAACACAATGCCACCGCTTGCCTCGGCTCGCACCAACGGCACGACTCAGAACGGGGTCCACCCACAAGTATCGAACGGCGGCACCAATGGAGTTGCGAGGTCTTTGACTAATGCGCCGAAGCTGCTCGTCTGGTCTGCGGCGGATGAAGCGGGTATCACGCGCCTTCAGCAAAGTTGGAGTTCCTTCTTTTCCAAATCAGTCGAGGACAAGTATTCCTTCCTCAAGAGCCTATCACATACCCTGACCTCACGAAGGACTCACCTACCGTGGCGAACCTTTGCCGTAGCTCGGCCATCGGACGACCTGGGAGCAGTGACTGAGCGTTTTTCCGGAGCTGTTCAGTCGCGGGAGTCTCCAAACCTTGCCATGATCTTCTCTGGCGTAAGTACATGTGTTTCCGGGTCGTTCATCACGCCACCGTGGTCGCTGACAATCTTGCAGCAAGGAGCGCAGTGGTTCGGGATGGGACGCGAGCTACTCCACACGTATCCTGCATTCCGTCAAAGCATCGAAGAGGCCGGAGAATATCTCCGAAGTCTAGGATGCGAATGGGATCCCGTTGGTATGCTGAGTGACATGTTCCACTCTCAAGCCTAGCTGGTGCTAATTGAATCCAGATGAGCTCCAGCGAAACGAAAGCGAATCGAACGTGAATCGCACTGAGTACAGCCAGATTCTTTGCACGATACTCCAGGTAGCTCTAGTGGACCTGCTGCGGTCGTTCAACATTGTTCCCAGAGCC